GCTGCTTGACTATGGAAGTTTAGTCTGGAGCCACACATGGCAAAGCACCTTGTCCTAGCTGGGCGTTTTGCCCACATTCAACCTGATGAGCCTCTTAGCTTGCTGTAGGCAGTGAGACAGAGTCAATTGTGCAACACATTTTAGAGCTTCATTTACGTACAGGTGGGTCTCAAGTCCAGTTAGAGAGCAAGGCAGTTCCATTCTCTCTGGAATTACAGAACTGACTCTGGCCCACATTAGTGTCTTGATTGCATTTCTTGGAGATGAGAACATTTGGTCACCAGAGGCCATCTCAGTTTGTCACTCAGTTTGACCTTACTGGCAGATAAGCAATTTATTTATTTGTTTGTTTGTTTGCTTGCTTTTTTGAGGCAGGGCTTCTCTATGTATAGCGCTGACTGTCCTACAACTCACTCTGTAGACCAGGCTGCCCTCAAATTCAGAGATCCACCTGCCTCTGCCTCCCAAGTGCTGGGATTAAAAGTGTGCAACACCATGCCCAGTCTAGATAAGCAGTTTACAAATGAAGAAATTCATACAGAGAAGAGACAAATGGGGAATATACAACTTTACTAGCTGTTAAGGAAGTGTAAAGATTGGCTTTTTATCTCTCAACTTGGTGAAATGTAGGAACAGTTATCTGGCCTGGTTTGTGCACCTCCATTCTCTGCTCCAGAGAAGGATCATTAAACTAATACAACCTTTCCTGGGCACTTGGGCAAAGGCAGGAACATACAGATCCTTTCACATAGCTGTCCTACTTCTGGAAACTGACAGCCAACAATTTATTAAGTGGATTAGGGGCCTGCTAAAGCTCTGTGTACAAAGGTGCAGCATTGTTTGGCAATGTGTGCAAATAGCCAAAGTCAAGGTCTGCCTAGGGTGTGAGGACGGTTAACCCACGGTGGATGTGCACAAGCGAAGGCTCTAGACCCCACAGGTCTCCTACTGAGGCCACAGGGCAGCTACCAGCAGGACTGTGGAGCCCAGACGCAGAGCTCCTCACCTGCATGGCTCCCTCTTTCTATTTCTACTTCAGATCCGGCTACTTTTACCTGATGTTTAGGGTTTGTTTATTTATTTTTTGTGATTTCCTCTAAAAACTCAGGGTTTGTATTGTACACTCTACTCTCCTGTGCAGAGTCAGCTGTGGATTCACACAGCCTCACTTCACAGAAGGTTAGCTTTGAACCACCATCCTACCAGATAGTCATCTTTACTTTCAGAGTATGTGCACAGTGAAGGGCTTCCCACTTAGTGCAAGCCTCCCTGCATCCCTTCATAAAACCCTGTTGTATAAGAACTCTTAGTGCCTTCACTGACTAACTGCCAGAGGTGAGTGTTCCACAGTCCCCAGTATTCAGCTAAGCCTCCAAGGAGGGGGGGGGGCCCAAATGATTGCTTTAGCTTTCTTCTTAAAGATAGCATTGCCCAGTCTTTTTTTTTTTTTTAAGATTCTGTTATTTATTATGTATACAGTGTTCTACCTGCATGGTGTTTGCCTACACACCAGAAGAGGGCACCAGATCTCATTACGGATGGTTGTGAGCCACCATGTGGTTGCTGGGAATTGAACTCAGGACCTCTGGAAGGGCAGTCAGTGCTCTTAACCTCTGAGCCATCTCTCCAGCCCTTTTTCACCTTTTTAACTTGTTTGCATTTCCTCTGGCCTCTAATATCACCCTATTCTGTGAAAGCGAAAAGGCAGCAATGTAAACATGCTACCTTGTGTGCTGACTTTTCCACTTCCCCAACAGAAGAAACTAAAATAATGTGCTGGCCTTGCCCCCAAATCCACAGTTCACTCTGGGTTCATTCCTGGCTCACCAAGTTACCACATGCAGATTAGCTAGATAAAACAGAAAAGAGACTGGAACAAAGCCATGGGGGAACGGGGAACGAGCACAGAGAAGAAAGCCGGGGCCTGCTTTGCTTGAAAGTTGTAGGGCCCCCTAGGTAGCTGCTGGGCTTCCTGGACAAAGCTGCAGATCTTGGGGCAGTTTTGGAGCTTGTGAGAGTATGGCAATGCTTGAGGATTAGGAATGGGTTAGAGTTTGACCAGGGAGAGGGGCTGACTTAAAAAGCATTGGCCATGCCTAGAGTCTGTGCTAGATCTGGACCTATTCCCAAGCCAAAGGTCTTCTCCCTCCTTCCTCGTTGAAATGCGGTCATTTGGGGATTTCTCCAGGAATTACCAAATCACTGAGGCCTCCTGTGAGTAGGTTTGCACCAAGAGTGTTAATGTGGGTGTAGCCTTGGAGTGCCCCTGGATTCTTGAGTCCTCCAGGTTTATGGAGAGGGATTATTTCCCAACTTCTAAGCAAAACCAGTTTTTAGTTGCTGTAACAGTTACTATTGGTTTTTGACCTGTGGCTCAGTAAAGATGGGCAGGGACATGTAATAAAACACGCTCAGAGTGGGTGCCAGAGGAAAGAGTACCTCCATCATTCAACACTGAGCTTGTCCTCAGATTCCTGATGGCTGTCCTCAGCTAGGAGCAGGTGGGTAGCCCAGTCATGCCAGCGTCACCGTCACAGCAGGAGTCCTCACCCCCATAAATGCAGTGGGCAATGGAAACAGCCTGAGTTCAAACCTCACTCTGCCTCTTCCAATGATGGATATGTTGCGCCATCTTTTCCTGCATTTGTGAAATGGGAATGACGATGTGTTCCACTGCTGGCGCCCTCTCCAGGACTGCAGAAGGCAGAACAAGGGGCTCTTTACACATCGCTACCTCCAGGTCCCTTTTTGCTTGGGGGATTTTTTTACATGACCTCTCGAGTATAGGTGTAGAAAAAGGCATAGACTCCAAACTCTTACCAAAGCATAAAGAAATGTACTTTAAAACAAATCTTTGATGTTATGTGTATTAATTATAATTATATATATACATATATGTGTATGTATATAAATTTTTGGTATCTGTTAAAGAAGCAATGGGGTAGATACTCTGTTTTGTTTTATATGAAGAATTAAATCTTAGCTGAATACTTGAAACTGCAGAATTTAGAGTTCATTGTGTTCTGATTTTGTAACCATTGATGCTGAAAACACTGCTTCACATGAATGAAGAGTATAAAATGGTAAACACATAAGAAACTCTAAAAATCCCAATCCAAAAGTCACTTAATGGTTGTTTTTAATGAAACTCAAGTTAGCAATCAAATTGCACTTTTTAAAATCAAACATTTTAATACAACCCAAAGATATACTAATTTGATACAAGAATGAAAGTAGAAAAAATGAAGTCTTTGTTTTCCGTAATTAAATCACTTATGTTTCAGTAAGAACAGAAAACTTTGTCTGCAGGTCATAATATACAGTAATCTTGAACCTGAGCTGAGGTACTGGCACATTGGTTGGTGTTGCATGATGTAATGACATACGCGGTGCAGTGTACACACGTGTGTTCAGAGCCAAGGCTGCAGAGAAGTCCCTCAAGGCAGCATGGGCGAAGACTGCCAGAAACACCTCAGAGTCATTGCAAATTTGATTTTGATTCCTTGTTTGGTGGTTGCATTAATATTTTCCTGACCCCCACGTGTAGTTATAGGACCCCATACTGAGCTGCACCCACTGTTGAGAAGCTAGGGACACTCAGCTTGGTGCCTGCCCTATTTATCCTATGCAGTAATGTCATCCTGGCACATTGATCACTCTATAAACAATATTTACTCATAGAAACCCTGAGATTAAGCAGGGGAAATGCTAAGCATTTTTATATTTAAATTGATATCGGAGAGGGACTGGCTTACAGGTTAACAGTACTTGCTGTTCTTGCAGAGGATCCAGATATGGTTCCCAGCACCCACATGGCAGCTCACCGCTGGCCTTAACTCCAATTACAGGGGATCAGACACCCGCTCTGGCACAACACACACACACACACACACACACACGGTGAACATATATTTATACATGCAGGCAAACATTCATACACATAAAATAAAAGTAAATAAAAATATTGGAAAATGATGGATTGAAGGGTGAGACCCACCACTGTGTGTTTTGCTGTCATTTGTGTTGTTAAATGAAAGCACCATTTATATGTGTGGTGACCTAGGAATAGTGTCTTCCTGAGCTGGGGTAGCTGGTCCCCTGCGAACTTATGTAGGGGTTGGAGCCTGATCCGAAGCCCCAAAGAAAAAGGGGGGGACAAGAGAGGGGTCACCATCAGATGCCAAGACAAAGCAGGAAGACTTCTTACTGTAGTATTCAAGATTATTGAAAGTGCTGCAGAGATTTTAAAAATTGAAACACATAGAACAGTTTCAGAAAACAGGCTCTCGGTCCCTACTTCCACAATTGATATATATATATATATAGTCCCACAGTTGTAGTGGCTGTGCTGAGGCAGAGGCAGAAAGATCAGTAGATTGATACAAATGCATAAACTCACCTCGTGGCCTTCTGGAGACTGCTACAAGATGAGTCCAGATTCCAGGTCTGTTCATACAGCCCAGACTCTCTGTGAGATACATCTTGGTTTCCTCCTTTCCTATGTAAAGTTTGTGGAAGACTGTTAGAAGAAACAGCTGCTTGCTGTTTGAAAAGCAAATTCTGGCTTTCAGACGTGGTAGCTTCACAAGAAACGAGTTTTGTTGAGACTGTCATTCTTTTTTTTTTTTAAATCTTTTTTCTATTTAAATTAGTAACAAGCTTGCTTCACATGTCAATCCCAGCTCTCTCTCCCTCCCTTCCTCCCCCCCGCCCCCCACCAGCCTCCCCAGCTCCCCTGGGAGGGTAAGGCCCTCCATGGGGGATCTCCAGATGGACTGTCATTCTAATGTTGATTTAAGTCCCATTCCACCTTCTATTTTGAAAAGTTAATAATTGATTTTTTATGTAAATGTGTTCCATAATTTCTACAAAGAGCCTAGCTTCCAAAATAAAATTATCTTCTATTTTAAGATTTATTTTTTTAAGTCATGAGAATTTTATGAAGTGTTTTGGACATATTTATTCTCCACCTAACCCCTCCCAATTATTTTGTTCCTCAGGGACACGTGACCATCAATAATCATGAAGAACCCATTTGAACATCTTGCTGAGCCCTTGGACCCTGCACAACCAGGAAAGAGATTTTTCAATTTGAATAAATTGGACGACTCAAGATATGGTGAGTACATCACCCTATGATGTAATTGCTCTGTTAGCAACTGGTTTCATGTTTGTGTAATTGATTATGCAACTGATTTGCCTTGGGGGGATTGGAAAAGCTCATAGAAGACAATGAATGAATGTAGATCACGCACACACACGCACACGCACACACACGCGCACACACGTACTTTTCCAAATAAGCATCTTATTATCTTTTCTAGTTCGTGGTAGTAATTTTCATGTATTTCAAGATAGACTTTTGGTTTTGTAAATAAAATAGATTTCTTTTTAACGAATTATTGGTTATATACAGTGGCCATGCTACATTGTGTTTAGGGTGTTTAATTGTAAATGGGTCATTTTCTCATTTCTTGAGTATTAGTTTCTTAAGAAATATTATTCTGTATATCTATAAAAATTCATATTGCTTGCCAAATACCACACAGTGAGAGTCTAGACTGATGGTGAACTGTGGTGACTTAATGGGAACTTTTCTTTCTGTTACTAAATTCAAAATAAGCAACCATTTAACATAAATAAATAAACTAATTGTTTTAGCCCATTCCTTGAGTGTTTTCAATTACTGATGTCTCTTAAATCCATGTTCTGTATGTAGTTTTCACCATATATACATTTTAAACTTACCAATCACTTTACCCTCTTTCCTTGCTGGAAGAATAATACAATGTCTTGTATCAAGTTTATCAAAGGAACTCTGAACAACAGGTGCCCTGCAGTTTGTTTTTAATGTTTTCTACCTTTTCTCCTAGGACGCCTACCATTTTCTATCAGAGTCCTCCTGGAGGCAGCCATTCGAAACTGCGATGAGTTTCTGGTGAAGAAAAATGACATTGAAAATATCCTGAACTGGAATGTCATGCAGCATAAGAACATAGAAGTGCCGTTTAAACCAGCCCGTGTCATCCTGCAAGACTTTACGTGAGCCTCTCACTGCTCTGTCCCACCTCCCTCGTCAGCCTCGCAGGAAGGGTTTTACTTCAACAAAACTGTTGTCCCTGCTGGGGTGGGTAGAAGATAGCATGCAGGAGCGCTCTGTGGAGTGTTCCGTGCCTGTTGCAGGCTTCTGTGCCTGGGCACAGTTGCACTGTCAGAGGAGAGGAGAGGTGCTCGTGAGGTGCTCCGTGAGGTGCTCCGCGAGGTTCTCCGGGAGGTGCTCCGCGAGGTGCTCCGGGAGGCGCTCCGTGAGGCTCTGCTTGCCAGCCTCAGCTCACAGCCTGCTGCGCCTGGAATTCATGCTGCCAGTTATGGCACAATTGCTCAGACATATCCTCCCATTCCCTTGGTAGACCCAGTTTCTTTATGTAGAAGAAAATCACACACACACACACACGCACGCACACACACACACACACGCACGCACGCATGCACGCACACATATATATAAAATTTTGCAAACACTGGTTTTACGCCTGTGTGTACCTCTCATCTCAGTAGCATTCATTTTCCTGCACATGATTTAATTTTGTTCTTTAAGGCTAAAAGCCTTCATACTATGTGTGGTGTGATACTGTTTGTATCCACTGCTCTTTCATAGATACCTAGCTGATTGCTTAACTTAGAGACAGGGCTGCAGTGGACACTGAAGTGCAGTGTCTCTATGACGTGCTGACTTGGAGCTTTTGCATAAATACCAGAAGGGCATGCCTGAGTTATACGGAACATCTAAAAATCATTGAGTTCTTAAAGAACCCCCTGTACTGATACCATTGTGGATGTACTCATTTACATTCCCACCATGGTGTCTACAGTTCCCCTTTGTCCATGTCCTCATATATGTTGATTTTTTTTTCTTAATGACTTCCATTCTGACTGGAGTGAAATAGAATCCCGATGTAATTTTAATTTGCTTTTCTTTGGTGACTAGTGAGAAATTAAACATTTTAGTGTGCTTATTAGTCATTTATATTTCATCTTTTAAGAACTGTCTTTTGTTTCATTGTTCTTTTTATTGATTGGGTTGTTTGCTTGTTTAGTTTTTGAGACCTTTGTACAGTCCAGATGTTAGGTTTTTTTCAGCTGTATTGCTAGCAAAGCTTTTCTCCCATTGTGTAAGCTGCCTCTTGACTTGATAAACTGTTTCCATTAGTGTGCAGAAGCCTATTCATTTTATGAGCTCTCATTTGTCAACTGGAATCCTATTGAGACATGCCTTGCCCACACTTACATCTTAAAGTGTTTTCCCCACTTTTCTTCTAACAGTGTCAGAGTTTGAGGTCTTACATTAGGTCTTGATCCATTTGGAGTTGGTGTTTGTGCAAAGTGAGATATCGTGTTCTAGTTTCTTTTGCATGTAGATAGCCAGTTTTCCAAATATTGTTTGTCTTTTCTCCAATGTAAAGTGTCATTTTCCCAAACTGGGAGGCAGTACTTTGTGAGTTTATATCTGGATTCCCATTCTATTTTATTGATCTACATGTCGTTTGGGGGGCAGGGTTGTTGCCATCGCCCTGCAGTATAACTTGAAGTCAAGTCTGATGAGACCTCCAGTGGTGTGGGGACTAAATGGAGAAAGTCTCCTTTGCACTGCAGCATTACTCTTTTTGCTCAGTGTGGTGCTTAGTGTTGTCAGCTTTAAAGAACCTAGAATCACCTGGGACATAGGTCTCTGAGAATGGCTGTGATGGGTTTTCTTGATCATATTAATTGATGATGACGACAGGGAAGACCTATCTTAATTGTGGGTAGGACCATTCCATAGACAAGGGAACCATGGGTTACAGTAAGCCCTTTCTCCCTGAATAAGTGACATTTGTCAATAACTTATAACAGCAATGAGAAAAGAAGCTAAGACACAGGGGGTTTGCTTTGGCAGCCTGAGGTCTTTATGTGACCATGTGGATTTTTTATTGTATTCTTCTATTTCTGTAAAGAATGCATTAAAAATTCGGTGAGGATTGCATTGAACCTGTAGATGATTTGGTAATATCTACAACAAAGTTGATTCTGCCAATCCATGAGTATGAAAGTGTGCCCATCTTAGTGTCTTCAGGTTCTTTCTTTGGCGTCTTGATGTTTCTTTATAGAGACCTTTCACCACTTTGATTAGTCTTATTCCAAGGTATATATCCACTCCAAGTTTGGTCTACAGTTGCAGGGGTGGTCTGGGAAGCAGCCACTCTGGTCAGGGTTCTTGAGCATAAAATAAACATCCTGGATTTACCGTAGTGTTTTTGTATTCCAGTTAATTTCCTGGTGGAGTTCTACAAGGAGATTCTACACAGTCACACCACTTAGCACCTGCATGCTTTCTGCTCAAGGAAATATGCTTAGAAACTTACACTTTTCTAAGTCACCTATTGCTAGCCTCTCTGATGAGATGGTCCCTTGTCGGTATTAACATTGGCAAACCTGCAAAACCCAGTCACATGCATTTATGGCTGTTTTCTGCTTACTTCTTTCTATCCCTAGGGGCGTGCCAGCTGTAGTTGATTTTGCAGCTATGCGTGATGCTGTGAAGAAGTTGGGAGGAAATCCAGAGAAAATAAACCCTGTCTGTCCCGCTGACCTTGTAATTGATCATTCCATCCAGGTTGATTTCAACAGAAGGTGAGGATGGTTAAGAAGGATTCTTTGGTTTTCTTCTTTGTGAAAAATATTGGAATACACATTTAAAAAAATTGTGTGTGAATGTGTTGGGCCAGTGATAGCTCAGCGGGTCAGGGTACTTGCTGCCAAGCCCGAGGACCTGAGTTCCATCCTTGGGGTCCACATGTTAGAAAGAGAGAACCAACTACCACAAGTCGTCCCCTGATGTACGCGAGTGCCATGGCACGCTCATGCCCACGCATACCCACACACAGACAGATAAGGAAATATAAAACAGGTTTTTAATGTGGGTGCATATTTAAGAATGTCTTTAAAGGTGTTGCCAGAAAATTAACTTTCCAGTGAATGATATTGGGAGAAATGGATTATGTAAACACTGTTATAACTTGTCTGTTTGCTTTGAATAGGAGTAGTCTGCATCTAGCAGACCTAGCCTGACTCTAGCTTGAAGAATGGACTAAAGTATACATGTACATTTTGCCATGAGAACTTGTCAGTGCAAGTGCATGTCTGCCTTTAGAAGAGTAGAGGTGCTTTTGATCCGCTTTGTTCCTGTCTTTATCACAGGTGGCTAACTGTTCTTAGCATAACGCCCACGCTAGTTTTGCCCTCTGTCTCTGCTGTCTGGATATGTCCTCATCTCACTCTCTCCTGCCAAAGTCCATGCCCTCTCTCCCAGCTTACATTCCCACAAGTCAGAAACCCGCATTGTCTAGCCGATGTCATGATCATCTTGCTAGACTCTGTCTAGGGTGGACCTTGAGTTGCCTGGTTAACCAGACTGGAGCTGTGCATGTAATAAGCACTTCACATAACTAAAATAGATGACCTTGAGATTGTCCCTAGGTTAAATGAGAAGCTAAGTTAACATGACTGAGATAACTTTACATGGGGACAAACTAAGTCTCTTCTTTTCATCTGTCTCTCTAGCTTGGCATCCAAAAGTATGGGTAGTAAAATATCTTTATAAAGAAATTGAGCATATGTCTTTACAGTTGCAAACTCACAACTTAGCATCTGTCATCTTAATAAGCATTTAAAAAGTGAATACTTCTTAAGCAAAATATGTGTAGCATTTATTTATTTATAATCCTAGCTTGTTATACGCGTAACCAAGGTTTATGTTTACAAGTCGAGTGGTGATGGTCAGTATTCCTGTGCTATTTGTTTTACTGAGCTTTCAGTCTTCATTCTCATTCTCCAAAAGCCTTTGCTCGTCATCATGAGTGAGTCTTTGGACTAGATGACATCCAGATAGCAAACGTTACTGGACATTTCCAGGCCCTTTATGATGCACTGGAAGGTGCAGAAAGCCAACCTGTACCATAGTAGAATCCAGGAAGTGTACTTGGTTTGGTACATCGTGGACCCAAAGGGCATCTGAAACTGCCGGGTTGTACCTTTAATCCCAGCACTTGGGAGTCAGAGGCAGGCGGATCTCTGTGAGTTCGAGGCCAGCCTGGTCTACAGAGTGAGTTCCAGGGCAGCCAAGGCTACACAGAGAAACCCTGTCCTGAAAAAAAAAATAAAAAAGCAACAACTGCAAAAACAAAAACAAAAAAACCTCAGCTGTTATGTAAAAATAACTCCAGTATGTCAGTGGCAGGCAACATGAGAATATCTTTCTGACATGTTTGTAGGTTGTTGGACAGCGAGCTGACCCTGATGAGGGTGGTTGGGCACTTCTGTCTCATGTGGCAGTGGCTGGACTGGGAATGCGAAAATGCAGGGCAGCTGTGACAGCTTCATTCCCTTGTGTTTCTTTGTCAGGCAGGCTAAAGAAGGCAGTTAGCTGATGCTCTCAGGCTTGGGGGGCAGAAACTCGAAATGTCTCATAAAGCTCACTCAGTAGTTACAGAGCCACTTCTGTTCACAGTGCTCATGATTGGGTGATGTGGCTGAGTCAAAAACTCAGGGTACAAAATACAGCTCATGGCTTCTCAGCCTGCTTTCTTATAGAACCCAGGACCACCAGCCCAGGGATGGCATCGCCTACAGTAAGCTGGGCCCGCCTCCATCAATAAGTAATTAGAAAATGCCCTACAGCCTGATCTTATGGAGGCGTTTTCTCAGTTGAAGCTCCCTCCTCTCTGATGACTCTAGCTTGTGTCAAGCTGGCAACTAGCTAGGGAATGTTATTGAACAGTGGTTGACTTGGGCGTACAGAAGCTATCAGTGTAAGGAGGCTGGCATCGACAGAAGTATGTCTGCACGCAGAGATCTGTAAGTGGAGAAGGAATTTTTCCACATTCTACTATGCATTTAGTAGGGGCAGCAGTTTGTATTTTAGTTTTAATTTAAATTAATTGGATGTATACAGTAATTTTAATTATAATGAAATAATAATTTTGGATGTGTTAAATGTGTTGACTAGAAAAGACTTCTAAATTTAGAATCAAAGAAAGAAAATACGAGGGCATCTATGGACTATGGTGACTTCAAAGTTAATAAATTATTTGCAAAAAAAAGGTAAAGGTTATATCTTAATATATAATCTCTTGGAAGGCAGGCAAAGTTCTGGGAGTTCCAGGCCAGCCAGTGCTGCATAGTGAGACTGTGTCTCAAAAACAAAAAAGAAAAGAAAAGGAATATGTAATCCATTTAGAAAAATAGACTCAGCAGATAATTGCACAAAGAACAATATATGTTTCTCGCTTTAAAAAAATAATGCAAGAGGCAAACAGAATGAAAAGCTTTTTCAGCCTCGCAGATAATAAGAAAGTAAAATAAGTGTTTGTAATACCATTTTCTCTTATCAATATAATTAAGATTAAAGCATAACTATTAAATTAGCATGAGGGAAACACTTATGTGCACTGCTATTAGTTGGAAATTATGAAAGCGATATGTAGTGAGACCTTAGAAATGTCTGTGTCCTGAGGCTGGGGAGATGGCTCTGATGTTGAGAGTTCTTACTGTTTAGTTTCCAGCACCTATCTCGGGAGGTTCACACCCAGCACCTCTAGCTCCAGAGAGCTGACACCTTCTTCTGGTTTCTGTGCACTCACACGCACAGACACATACGCTGAGACACAATTAAAAAGAAAATTAATATTGTTTTTAAAAAAAAAGAAATTTCAGTGTCCTTTGCCCTAGGATTTTTGCAGTCAAGCACACTTTTAAATAATACTGGAGATCCAGAAAAAGCAGCCTGGCCAGTATACTAGCTAGTTTATTACTTGATTCCTTCTCTTTCCCGCCTGGCCCTGAGCTCCACCCGATGAAAATGCAGCCTTTGCATTTCCAGTAGCTGGCTTGTAAGTGAAAGGAAGGGCTGAGTATGAAAGGGAGACTCGAGGACAGTCACACTCGGTTTCAGATGACAGCTCTGTAATTGGTCAGTTTCTGACCATGACAAGTTACCCAGCTTCCCTGCCATCACTGCTGCTTCCGCAGGTGGAGGGAAGGGAGTTGTGATAGCACAGTGGCATTATGGGTATAGAGCTGACAGCCTGGGCCCTCAGCACCTACTGTTGTTACTGTGGCAGAATTGTAGCTACAGCCCCAGTCTCCGTACTGTGCGAAAGTAAAGAGTGTGAACTCTGAGACCTAGATTTCAGTTCCCTTTTCACCATTTACTAGCTGTGTAATGCTCAGCAGCTTCCTTAATTTCTGTGAATCTCATTTGCTCATGAGTAGTGCCCAGCTCAAGATATATAGACTCAATGAGACAACTAATCAAGCAGTTAGAATAGTAGCTGTTTCCTACAAATGTCAGTAGGTAATGATAGGAGCTTGGCTTAGGTCTTAGCTGTATATTTAGTGTTTCCTCAATCCGTTATATCCAGATTATGTGTGCCTTCTCACTTCTAAACCTGCAAAGTTGTGACTGACTTATTTGAATAAACCTCTGCATGTAATCTGGGGTTTACAGTTGTTCATGGAGAGCAGCATCTTCGTAAACCCCAGTCTGAAACATAGACTGAGGTTCTGAAAGCAATGGGCCTTGGCCTTGCTATTTTCTGTCTCTAGCATAAGCCCATGAGCATGCCACCCATGTGCGGCTCGCCAGAGAGAACTGATGGGGCCATTGATGAGAAGCAGGTGCAGAGCAGGGGTTCCTGAACTGTCTCTGCCGCTCTTGTCACGCATGTCTTGAGTTTGTCCCTGAGCCTCAGACTTGGAGATTAACTTTCAGTGGAATGCAGCTCATGTTTCCCACTGTGCCTGAGGGCTTTGAAGGAATCACTTGAACCCGGTGATTTGTTACGTTTTTACAGCTTAGCTCAGTTTTCCAGCTGGTAATCGGTGTCTACCAGCCTGCCAGCTATTCGGCTGATTCATCACCTGCAGATTGGAGGGGTGACATGTGAAGCCTTGCAATTTATACATTTGGTTTTTTTTCTCTGACAGGGCAGACAGTTTACAGAAGAATCAAGACCTAGAATTTGAAAGAAATAGAGAACGATTTGAATTTTTAAAGGTATGGGCCAGAGTTTGGTTTCACCATTTGGTTTTCCATGTGTGTGGGGCTTGAGGAGAGGTGTGCAGTTGACCAAGTTAAAATGTCTTCACTGTGTTCTTTCTGTTGTGCAACTCTAGTGGGGTTCCCAGGCCTTTTGCAATATGCGGATTATTCCTCCTGGCTCAGGAATCATTCACCAGGTGAATCTGGAGTATTTGGCAAGAGTAGTATTTGATCAGGATGGATGTTATTACCCGGACAGCCTCGTGGGCACAGATTCACACACTACCATGATTGATGGTCTGGGAGTTCTTGGTTGGGGTGAGTCTTGTCCCGTGTTCCTGTCACGTATGCGCTTCTGGGGCACACTCCTCTTTCACTGCACGTGTTTACATTGTCACAGGGAGGCTGCACTTGTCTGCTTTGTTTACTGCTGTATTTTTCAGTGCCTAGAAAACAAGACTTTCTATTTGGAAAAATAAACTGAATTACATTCAAGGACATTTGCATAAGTAAAAATCCACTAGGTGTTCCTTAACAGCAGAGCCTCCTAAATCTACTCTCTATTGAGTGTGGCACTGAAAAGATTTTAGTCCAGGTACTGGGGGAGGGCACTCTGTAGAGGGAATAGAGAAAAACGAGTGTTCCTTAGGGAAGTACAGCTGTGTACCAGGTAAGCGTGCGGGCTGGGTTTCTCGAGTCTGTGACTGAGGGACAGTGAGGGCTATGAACATTCTGCTGTGCGTTCACTGCAGGTGTAGGTGGCATTGAAGCAGAAGCTGTCATGCTGGGTCAGCCCATCAGCATGGTGCTTCCCCAGGTGATCGGCTACAGGATGATGGGGAAGCCCCACCCTCTGGTAACATCCACAGACATCGTGCTCACCATCACCAAGGTAATGAGATATGTATATGTAAATTTTATATATATATAAAATGATACACACACACACACACACACACACACCCTCTTGGAAAGCCAATGACAAACGGGGAATAAACTTAATGGAGTGGGTGTGCTCTAGAGAGCCTAAGTTACAGTATATTGATAGATTATAAAAATAAAATGAAATTAAAAAGGGTTGTTGTGGTTGAGTTTAGATGGTGGTTATCTTTATTCTTTTCCTTAATTTTTAAAGTTTTGACATAAAGTACTCAGAAATTAAAATCATGTTCATATTCCTGTCACCATTTCTTTTTCTGAGACAGGGTCTCTCTGTGTAACTTCAGCTGTCCTAGAACTGACTATGTAGACCAGGCTATCCTCAGACTCACAGAGATCTACCTGCCTCTGCCTCTTGCCTGGGTCTTGTCACCAAGATTGAGAATGTCCTGTCAGATTTGCTTCCGAGGCTGTTTTTATTAATTAGGGTACATTTATAATTTGTGAGTATCTCTAGAATTAGCATGTATGTATTGATCAGAAGATCCTATCCTTCCCAGAAGTAACCACTGTCTTAAGGTTGAAAATTAGTCCCACACATATTTTACACTTTTGCTACAGTTTTTCCATGTGTTTCTTTTTCTTTTGAATTTTATTGCATTTTTACCTCTGTGTGTGCTTGAGGTATGCCATGGCATATGTGGGGAACCAAGGATAACCTTTGGGAGCTGGTTCTATCTTTTCACCTTGTGGTTTCCAGGCATCAAGTTGCCAACCCAGCCATCTTGCTGGCCCCACCTGGATTTTTTATATGTAAATAGCAACTTAGTTCCATGAATTATTTTAACTTTCTCTCTTATTGTAAGTTACTTTATTGCAACAGATGTAACTACAAGTTGGAAGTTATTATTATGGCTTTTTCCTAAACTCTTGCAAGAATCCTTTTGTGTTTGTGTCTGATTCACTTGCTTTACAAAAAAGGTACTTTCACCTGGCCGGTTTTAGTGCAAGCATTGAGTCCCAGAACTTGGGAGGCGGAAGCAGGCAGATTCCTGAGTTCAAGGCCAGCCTGGTCTACAGAGCAAGTTCCAGGACAGGCAGGGCTATCCACAGAGAAACCCTGTGTTGAAAAACAAAATAAAACAAAAAGGTAGTTTCATGGTCTTTATTTTAAATAATTTTTGCTGGTCATTTGGTATAGAGGCCTTTTGTAGAGGCCTCATGATATAAAGGCCACAAGTGTGTCTTTGATTTGATTTTTATGGAATTTAGAATTGGATTTATTAATACCACAGATTGTCACAGTAGTTTTCAAAAATGGACTAACAGGACTCACCTCAAATGTGTGAAAGAATGCACGTAACCGACTGGATTTTCCATGAACTTAGCTGTCTGTGAAACTGCCCTCCTTGTAAAGTTAACGGGCCAGTCCCGGAGCGTCAGCCCTGGCTGGTGGCTCGTGTGGAGAAGACGGGAGATGGCAGTCTGTGGGATTTGTGACAGCAAGAACTGTGTGTGCATTGTCTTTAAAAGCAATCAACTCTAAACCCTGATTGTGTAAGAACTAAGTGTATCTAAGTTGAAAGAATGTAATTTTTTAATGCCTTCAGTGTTTCATTCTGAATGTTTATCATTTGGAACTGCTAATCTTGGTGTAATTCGTATTTGTGGCATTCTTTTTCTCTCTTTTTAAGAAATAAGAGTTATTTTGGTGCACTCTCAGATGCATAGTAAGTTGGTGGAGAACTAGTAAGGTACCAACCTGCCCACTTCTCAGTCTCCTTGTTCACGTCACAACGGCCTTTTTTTCTTTTTTCTTTTTTTGGTTTTTCGAGACAGGGTTTCTCTGTATTGTTTTGGAGCCTGTCCTGGAACTCACTCTATAGACCAGGCTGGTCTCAAACTCACAGAGATCCACCTGCCTCTGCCTCCCAAGTGCTGGGATTAAAGGCATGTGCCACCAGCACCCAGCCCATAATGGCCTTTTTAACATTGGTACAGAACTCATAGCTACATCCCTTTGCCATCCTGGAATCCAGTCCTTTTAGGGAGCATTGCAAAGAGATAGTTCTGTTTTAAACATGGGCTGTCAAGACTCCAACTTCCCTATTGTTTCTACTGTACAGCACCTCCGGCAAGTTGGGGTTGTGGGCAAATTTGTGGAGTTTTTCGGGCCGGGAGTGGCCCAGCTGTCCATTGCTGACCGAGCTACGATTGCCAACATGTGCCCCGAGTATGGCGCGACTGCAGCCTTCTTCCCCGTTGATGAAGTTAGCATTGTGTACCTGCTGCAGACGGGTAAGTGAAGGGCCCAGAGCAGAGCCCCTGAGAATCCCAGCCCTGCCTTCTGCCTCTGCCCACACCATGCTCTTGTGTTAGACTTACTTGTCCTCTCTGTGGAGACAAAGTATGTAGTTGGATTTAAGGAGGTGTGAAATGAACTAAGTGATAGCCAAGAGGGAAAAAAAACTCTCCCTGGTACCCACAACCCAGATGTATACATTGCTTTTCAACTGCCGCTTGTTGTATATTAGCACAAGAGATCTTAGTGATGGTAACTGTTGTCTCTGGGGGGCCTGTCGGGTACCAGGCACTGGTATCTGCTTACCCTCTTCCCCTTCATGCATTGATAGAATAAACTGATGGATTACTTGATTAAATAATAGGATAGAAAACCCAGAATCAGAGCAGTGTAATTACCCAAGACTAAAGCCTGTGGCCATCGTACTCAGCACAGCAGTGGGTTCCAGGTTGTATTTCTGGCAATAGCGCACTGAGGATTAAGACTTTAGACTTTGGGTGCAAATTTGGTTCTTTGTTCTATCATTTCCTAGCTGTATTCCTTAGAGAAGTTACCTAATAATTTTCCTACACTAGCATTTCCTCATCAGTAAATGAAAATAATAATAGTGCATGCCTTGTGGGATCATGATAAAAGACCAGAGTTAGAAGTAATTCATTTGAAGCATTTAGCACCCACTTCCAGGCACACCAGAGTGCTTATGAGCCAGAAGTGTGAGTGGTTGGTAATTATTTTAACAAAGTAATGCCAGGAGTGACTGTGGCAAATTGAGGGCAGATGCATGGGTGCCCTTCAGCACTCAGCAGTGGGCTCAGGCTTAGGATCCTCTTGAATGAGGGCTTCACCAAAAAGATGAAGCCGGTCTGTACATAGAGCCAGAATCCGGTCTGTGCACATTGCTTTGGTAGGCAGAGCAGATGGTGCCTGATAACAAGCAGTCCAGAAGCTGAAGGAGCAGAGGTGTTGGTGTGTATGCACATTAGATGGTGACCTACAGAGCTGCAGGTGGGCTCTCGGTTTATAGTCTTTAACCCAGAAATAGTAACATGTTCCTTTGTTACTAATGTCATCTAGGTCGTGAGGAGAACAAAGTAAAGCACATTAAAAAGTATCTTCAGGCTGTAGGAATGTTTCGAGATTTCAATGACTCCTCTCAAGACCCAGACTTCACTCAGGTATAAAAGCAGCTTCTAAACATTGTTTCTTCTTTCTGAGGATACAGTTGCAGTGGTCTGTGTTTCTTTATGGTTAAAACAATTGTGGGAAAAGAATCACTGTGTTGTCTTTATAAGGTAATGAGGTGGTAAATTGTGAAAAATGAAAAGGTTAAGCACATAACATATCAAAGTAACTTCTTAATGTGACTGTTACCCTAACCTTTGTGAATTGAGTGTTCCCTCCCCCAACTACTGATTGACACTTAGGCATGGCAGGCTTTGTTAGACAGCTGCTGCTATTTAAAAGCCATGCCTATTGTCGTTATAGTCCTGGAAAGAAATGAAGGCATGAACATGTCAGTGGTTCTGTTTACCCAATGATTTGCTTTATTTTCTAGGGGTACAAACTGAGTCCATGTTTTCATAAGCAGCCAAGATTTAGAGAGTAACCCAGACTTGGGGTCCCAGTTTTCATGTACCTCAAGGGAAGGAAGTACTCACTGAGTTGAAAGCTGTCTTCTGCAGTGATGGCTTGTGGCTATATCCCTCAGTAGGAAGCCCATCTCAACCTAAAAGCCATGTGTTAGCTCCTCTACAGAGCAGCAAGTGGAAGAGAGCAGGCAGCCGGTGTCTGCCCTGTCTCCAAGGCAACCAAGAGTCCTGCCGGTCCCATGCTGCTCCGGTGCCCATGTTAGTATTGGGAAATTAATTTTTGATGTGATAAAAGCATTGCGGGCGCCCCTGATTTAGAACAAGCCAGCTTGTTTATTTGGCTGCTTATTGTTGGGATGTTCGAAGGTGTATGGTGTGATTGCATTATTTCTCTACAGAATCTATAATTGCTTTTGGTTTGGGTGAACAGGTTGTGGAGCTAGATTTGAAAACAGTTGTGCCTTGCTGCAGTGGACCGAAAAGACCCCAGGACAAAGTGGCCGTGTCTGACATGAGAAAGGACTTTGAAAGCTGCCTTGGGGCCAAGGTAGGTCTCTGGACTCCACCCTGTACCCTGCTCTTTTGTGTCCAGGTTTCCACCTTGTGATGGGTCTTCCTGAAGCCTGGTGCAGGGGCATTTCTTCTCCTCCCTAAACTCCTTCATGACTCTCCCATTAGCTATGGGCCCAGCAGCTTGTCTATAGCACATACCTGCCTAAAAACAACCCGTGTGTATGCATAAATCCTTTTCATGTGAAAACCCACCTCCTGCAGTGTGGTTCGCCCAGTTCACACAGACTCTTTAAGTCCCCAGACTTTTGTTCATGCCTCTCTGTGTGTGCATGTGTCTGCTTCATCCCTGACATCCTATTCTGTCCAAATCCATAAAGTTCTGCTCAGATACCATTCTCTGTAACATGGCACCAAGCATCCTCTGGCAGGAAGTCATCTTCCCTCACTTAGAAATCCATGGCATGGGGCCTGAAGCTCTTTGCGTATGTGTGATTTCCCTTACTGACCTGTACCTTTGAGCATAAGGTACAGGTCATTATAATTGCATCATAATCACTCTGCTACCCACGAGCTCCCAGCGTGATGACTGATACTCAAATTTTCAGTGAATCTCTCCCAAATGAGAGGGTGAGGTAGAGTTTATCCATGAGGCATCAGCATTATACCAGATGTTCAGCTGTATCTTACATTACTGATTAGAGTTGTTGAAATTGATATTAATACAAGTCACCTCTCTCCAAATTTCCATGAGATCAGAATCCATAGTTCAGTCAGGCTAACTTTGAACTGTTAATAGATTTAGTCTGTTATTCTTAAGAAGGGAAGAAAGTGATTGTTACTGATTTTGTTGCTGAGCAAGATTCAGGACTCAAGGCTGCCTTTGTAAATATCTAAAAAGAATAAAAAGACATTTAAAATTTCTGGATTATTTCAAAGTTTACTCATAGGAGTATTTATTTTGTTAACAATTGGCACTTAAAATTACTATCAGACTTCTTCCAAAGTGAAAATTTTGATCACATGTATTTTTCTTTTTAGTAGCAGATTGTGTGTGCCCAGTTTTCATCTATTTTCAACCTTCCCTTCCCACAGCAAGGGTTTAAAGGTTTCCAAGTTGCTCCAGACCATCACAATGACCAGAAGACATTTATCTACAATAGCAGTGAGTTCACCCTCGCTCATGGCTCTGTGGTCATTGCTGCCATCACCAGCTGCACAAACACCAGCAATCCATCCGTGATGTTAGGAGCAGGTGAGGGCATCTGGTTCCGTCCTCTTGGTCTCCTGGATGTGGGAGGAGAGTTTTACATTTCCAGATGTACAGACAGATTGGCCCAGAGAATTCCTACACAGCCAAAAGCATCCAGAGCAAAATATTTGAAGTAGAATTCATAGCACGTGACAGACAGCCTTTTCTTTTGTAATTAGCACAGAAAATAAGCAGAGGGGAGCAAAGGAAGCTGGGTTTCTGCCAACACCAGAATCTGGATCCTACCTGAGACAGAATAGAAACGAACCTCTTGTCCTGTCACAGACCTTGCGCCTGTAAGCCCCTAGCAGTGAGACTTTGCACTGTCCTGTGCATTCATTGGCGGTTGCAGCTGCACCAGGGCACAGGTCACTGGCTGCTGAGTCTCAGTGCGCCAGCCTGTTGAGCAATGCGGTGAGGTAGTTAATAGTTACATGTAGAGTCCAGTGTTAAAAGATCCCCTGAGTTCTGATGTTTAATCGCCCTTGAGAGCGCCCCTTGGGTCCAGAGACCAGGGTCAATAGTTCTTTCTTAATGGCCTGTAAGAAAAACCTTTGTAGAGTTCATCTTTACCACTAAACTTTCCATATTTAACTGGAGCAAACCCGTTTTCTCGGGAAACACCAGCAGCTGCCTTGTTCCTTCCTCTCATTTCTTCCCCTCAGCTGTCATGTTTCCTAAGTCAGAGCGTGCACCATTCCTTTACAGTCCTGACCGGGGACCCAGGCTCTGATCTTTGCTTTAGGAATATCTGTGGTCTAGACGTGCTATAGGCTATGCTCCCTTCCAATCGGGACACAGTTCGTGTATCTCAGACAAGGCCTTTCCACTTATAATTTCCATCTAAATCCAAACATAATTTTAGAGAATTTTCCCTCTAAAAATTAAAAGCTCATAAGATATCCCTAAGTAGTTTGGGATTTATTTCTTTTGTTTGGCTGGTTGGTTTTGTCTTGGGAACTTGCTGTATAAGACCAGGTTGGTCTAAATCACAAAGATTCTGCCTGCCAGATGCTGGAATGAAAGGTGTGCGCCACCATGCCAGGCTGGGGCTTATTTAATAGGGGGAACAAAAGCCCACCTGTGTCTTGCTTCATCTCCATGACTCATTTGGGTTTGCTGTGTACATGAACTGTCTCTGGGTAGTGAACTTTTGACCTATTGGTCAAGAAGTGTAACTGGAAAAAAACCTGGCCTTTCCCTAAAGTGTTCTTAACGCCTGAATAAATAACCACTCATGCTGTGTCTCTGTTCACAGGACTGTTAGCCAAGAAGGCTGTGGAAGCGGGGCTGAGTGTGAAGCCTTATGTCAAGACCAGCCTGTCTCCCGGAAGTGGTGTGGTCACCTACTACCTTCGAGAGAGCGGAGTCATGCCTTACCTGTCCCAGCTGGGGTGAGGAGGGGTTATGTTTGCTTGTTTTGTTTCGTTCATGCCTCAGCCATTGTCCTAGTGCTCTGGCACCTGTGTGCAGCTGTCTCCTTATCTGATCCTATGTTCTTTCACAGCATTTTATCACGTGGTAGATAGACTTAAACCCTAGCTTTCCAGTTGCTGAGGCTCCTGGGATGGTTGCCCTTGTTTATCAGAGTGAACCCTGTTTTCCCGTGTGGCATTCCCTCCTTTCCCCAGAAGAGGGCACCTTTCCTCACTTACTGAGAAAAACCGTGGGCTGGTGTGGCTGGACAATTGAGTCTGCCTGTGGGCCCAAAAATAAGTACTTGACTGCAGACATTCTAGTCCTTGAGACAGATGAGTGATTAGTCACCATGACAGTTCCTCCAGTTACCATTTTATTTACTAGTTTGTATAACATCTGCTTTCTCCATGAGTTTCATAACCTTCAAAAGTCTTTGGAAATGCACAATAATAGGAGATGGGGATATTAAATGACACATCTAGTTTCAGCTTTTAAATATTCTAGATTATTCAGCTCCTTGTGTTACAAGTTTAAAAATGTCCCTGTCCTAAACTCACTCCATTGCTGTTGCTCTATGAGCTGTGGGCTCTGGGAAGTATTCCAGCAGAGAGGCTCACTGAGAGTAACCATTTCCTATGCCTTGTTTGATACCTAGGTTTGATGTAGTGGGCTATGGCTGTATGACCTGCATTGGCAACAGTGGACCCCTTCCTGAACCTGTGGTGGAGGCGATCACTCAGGTAATGGCTTTCTGCAGGCCTCTTATTTGCATTCGTATAACATATGGCAAATTCTGCAAGTTGTATGCCTTGGAATCGGGATATGGTAAGAGGAGCATGGTCTTCAGAACCAAAATTCACAAGGAGAAATCACTAGCTGTGTAACACTAGCTAGTTTGTGCCTTAGTTTCCACACCTGTAAACGGGAGGTGATAGCAGCCGTTTTTGAGAATTATGGTAATAAAATGCCTTAAGCAGTACCTAAGCCCACGCAGGGGTTCAGTGCACTCTGGCTTTGACTACAAAGGGCTAAAGTGTTTGTTGCTGTTTATTAACCAAATTTCCTTAGAAATGAATGAAAACCACATCGTATTGGCTTAGTTTCTGTTGCCATAGATCTGTAGCCTTGAAAAGCACCGTTTGATCTGTCGGTATGGCGTTCTCCAGCTGTCAGCCTCTGGTGGGCTCACCTGGTCTAAGACTGTAGCAGCAAAATCTGTGATATTAAATGCTGACCTATCTGGTATTGTCTCAGGACCAGAAATCACTGACCACTACTCTGCATTTGCCCTGGGATACCCTCCCCTCTCTCCTCCCTGCATCAGGAGACTGAGGGAAGGTTGTCTGAGGGCTTTGTCCACGTGACGTGGAAACTGGTCTGACGTGAGAAGACCAGGCAGTGCCTTCCTTTGTAAAGTGATAGTTTTCTTGCCTCACACAGGGAGACCTCGTAGCTGTTGGAGTACTGTCTGGGAACAGGAACTTTGAAGGGCGAGTCCATCCCAACACCCGGGCCAACTACTTAGCCTCTCCCCCATTAGTAATAGCGTACGCAATCGCTGGGACCATCAGGATTGACTTTGAGAAAGAGCCTTTGGGTAAGATTTTGGTTCCGTAACTCTTTCCAGAATTGTAAAATATGACTATAAGGAAGATGCTACTGCTTTTGTTAGTACAAAATGAAGTGTGGGATCTTGAGAGTTGGGTGTGATGATGGTGCATGTCTTTACTCCCAGTGCTCAGAAGGCAGAGGCAGGCAGATCTCTAGAGGGGAATTCTAGGCCAGCCAGGGTTTACGCAGTGAGACCCTGTCTCTAAAAACAAAGATTCCAGAGAGTGTTAAGCCCACAGGTTGAGAATAAGACAACCACCACAATTTAAAGCCAAATTTGAAGCAAGCTTTAATTAAATACTGGCCGAGTGAATGGGCCCTGGCCAGGTCCATCTCTGATTTCCCAGAAAAAAATGGCCGAGTCCTGGTTTACAGCGGCGGAAGTATTTCCCATGAGGTTCAATCAGGGGCAAGCATACATCCTGATGTACACCTACCGTCTACATGTGATCAAGCACATCCCGTGCAGATGGGTCGAACACACTTGTTCAGGGGAGTGAAAACCTGTGGCTTGTTATCGCCCATAAACAGTAGCCTCCAGCACTTCAGAAACTAATTGTCCTTGGGCAAGGGGCTTGCAGATCAGAGGCATTTTGCTTCATAGCTTTCTAAGGCTTAGTAATTAAAATGTAATTTTGGCTCTCACAGAGGAGACAGAGACATCTTTTTACTGCTCTTCAGTGTACACCCAAAACACAAAGGAAAGACTTTTGCGGGGGGCAGTAAGTAGCAAAAAGGATATAGGTCCAAACGTATTAGCAAATTGCCACTCTGGAGTCTTTGGAGGGCCTGCCTTTGCCTCCTGGACTCCTGAGATAGGCTTCACTTCACTGTGGACCCTATAGGAGCACGCTCCAGGTCAAATTCAGTTCAAAGCTCTGCTTCGTCTGGGCTTTTGCTCTTGATGGTCCAGTGCAAGGAGATTGGATAACGTGGAGGGCATCCCTTACAGTCGGTGTCCTAGTGCTGCCCTGGCCCCCTCGCGGGTGAGCACAGGGTGGAAGCTGAGTTACAGTACACATTCAGTGTGGCACAGACGAAAGCATCCCTCTGCCTTCTTGTTCCTAGTCTGTAAGTAAACGAATGCGCTTCTCACAGTCCAGCTAGTGTCTTTTTTTTTTTTTTACTTTTTGTGTAGTTTTTGTGATGATTTTGCTTTTTTGGATTACCCTGGAGCTTAATACTGAACCAGTGCCCAGTGTTCTCTACACAAGAAACCTGTGATGTCCCTGGCACTGGCACATGCTTCATTCAGTTACGAATTAGTGTGCTGTTGGCTCCAAGTCCCCAGTTAATGACAGAATTATACACCTTCCCCAGTGTCCATGAAGCACCGGCTTCGGGAACCTCTGAGGACACTGAAGTCTGCCAGTGACTCAAGTGCCTAACAGAAAATAACGAAGTATTTCACATTGTGCCCAGACAGACCATCCCTAGTCACTCATTACACCTGTGACAGTGTCAGTGCTACATACATGCTGTGTAGGGAATAATGAGAGGGAACATACAGGTTTGATGCAGGCACTTTCTCTTTTTTCTGGTTTTAGTCTATAGTCAATTGAGTTAACAAATACAAAACCTGTAAGTTGGAGGCCAAACTGTCCATACATAACTGTCTTAAATAAGAGAGCATGTACGACCAGGCCATGTGTTAATCAGTTGATGGAAATGTGACCCAGAAGAAGAGAGTTGGTCTTTGTTTGCACAGCTCCTGGAGGAACAGACCTGACTGCAATAATGAAAATGGGTGTTAGAGGAAACTTCTCATTAGTAACGTGTTTTCCCCAGGGGTTAATGCACAGGGCCAGCAAGTATTTCTGAAGGATATCTGGCCAACTCGAGATGAGATCCAGGCGGTGGAGCGGCAGTATGTTATCCCTGGGATGTTCAAGGAGGTATATCAGAAAATAGAGGTGAGTCACATCACAGTGCACAAATGCGCCGTTCACTTTGTGTCATCACTGCCGCCCTGAGGCCAACAGGAGCAAGAACCAGAGAGAGACATTTATCTCTTCCTCTGACTGGGGCAGGGCTAGGGTTTCTCTGCTTCCATAACTCACCTTTCTACAAAACCCACTGATGCAGCTTGGGCCAGGGATGTGACACACGGCCTCAGTGACAGTCTTTAGGGCCATCTCCCTGGTAGTTCCACTCCCTTTTCAGACATCCTGGAATGTCACCTGTGCTGAAGACCATGGCGGTCACTGTATTTTGTCACCGCGTGCAGTCCGTTGATTGAATACCTCTCAAAAAAATCATCTGAATGTTAAAAAGTATTAAAACCATGATGTGTCAACTTGTTGAAATGAGAACAAAAAGTTGTACATTCTAAAATAGGAGAAAAGTCAGGCATGCTGGCGCACGCCTTTAATCCCAGCACAGCACTGGGAGGCAGAGGCAGGTGGATCTCTGGGAGTTGGAGACTGGTCCACATAGTGAGGCACTGTCTCAAAATAAATAAACGAATAAATAAATAAATGGGAGGAAATAACTGGGGTTGAGTCCCTTTTCCAAGCCTCAGTTACAGCCTTCCCTGCTGGCCAGGGTCTTCTGATGGGGGAGGCGGGTAGTTTGAAATGAGAACAAGACTGTAGGACAGGGGTCACGGCACAGAATTCTCTCACTGCCCCCTCCACAAGCTACTCACTGGGAAATAGTATCTAGAAGCTTTGTCAGCCATCTGATTGAGTATGTTTCTGCAAAGATCAAGTTAAGGGATCCATGAAAAAAATTCAAGCCAACTTAAATACACAGTGACTGTCATTTTGCTATCTAGCATCCGTGTGACCTGGAATAAATATATATATTCATTATCTATTGGCCCCATCATGGACTGGGGTGGGACTCACAAGGCTCCATCCCTTCCTGAGGAGCAATTGGCAATAATTAATGGTTGCTTGAGGAAGAGGAGTCGTTTCCTTTGATAGTGAAGTCAGTGGTAAGGTATCCAGTGATAAGTAAATCACCTGATCCATGTTCACACAAGCAATGCTAATTAAACTCAGCAGAGATAAAAAGGCATGAAAAAGAAGGGAGATTAGGTTGGAAGAAGGGAATGCAGTCAGAGTTGGAGGGGGACATGAGAGGGTAATGGGGGGTATGCCCTAGGACATTGTGTTCCTGTATATGACATCATAAAAAAGAATATGTATATATATATACCCATATATTGGAATATATGTAACTAAAACTTAGCAAGTTAAAAGCAAAAGCATTTTGTTTCTATGTGTGCAGAGCCAGTGGGAGCCTTGGCCTGCACAAGCAAAAGTCATCCCATCTGGGGTGACATCATCTGCTGAGAGCCACCCTGGGGATTGGACTGAGGTCCCCAATTCCCCCTGGCCCTTAGCTGGAGGCTTCCCTCAGCACTGCCTCCACGGCTCCTTCACGGTTGATCATGGTAGATAGTTACCATCAGAGCAACAGTAAGAAGGTGGCGTCTTCATGGAGGGGCTGCCTGCAGGGTTAGGGTCCTGCCTGTCTGCCAGGGCTTGCTTAAGAGTCCCGTCACTCAGCAAGACAAACAAACCAGGAACCGCTTAGTGTGTGGCTTAGAATCAAAGTGGCTTTTAGTAGCCCTCTTTTGGATGTTTTGCATTGTGTACCAAGTTTTTCCTGGCCTGGAATGTGACTGATCCCCTTTTTATTTGAGACGGTAAACAAAAGCTGGAACGCTCTAGCAGCCCCATCAGAGAAGCTGTACGCCTGGGACCCCAAGTCTACATACATTAAGTCACCGCCGTTCTTCGAAAACTTGGTATGATATTTCACTGTGCTTGGTGTCATGTATTTTTAAATTGTATTTATTGTTGTGCATCTGTGATGTTCGTGTGTGAGCATGGGCACAGGTGTGCCATGACGCAGGTGTGGACGTCAGAATACAGAAGACAATTTTTGCTGAGTCCTCTCCCTCCACAGTGAGGTCCAGGACCAGACTCAGGTTACCAGGCTTGGTGTTGGTGGCAAGAACACTTATCTGGAGCTGTCTTACTGGCTAACATGTTTTTGTTTTAATTGTGTATGAGTAGTTTGCTTGCATGTGTGTCTGTGTACCACGTGTGTACAGTGTGTGTGAGGGAGTGTAGAAGGTGTCTGAGTTTACACAGTTGTGAGCCACCATTTGGAAATTGAAGACCGGTTGGTGCTCCTGACCTCTGAGCCGTCGATCCAGCCCCTGGCTTTTTATTTTTAACATAAGTGCTTTGAAAGCTGTTTTTCCTTGTACAATCTTACCCCACAGCCTTGTGCTGGCTGCCCATCACAGTCAAATCTTTGCATCCTCAAGCAGATAATGCCGGGGATGTTGTGGGAGGGCACTGTTTCTCTGGCCAGAGGTTCTGTGTGACTGTGCAGAGACATTCCAGTGAGTAGACACCACCTAGATGAAGACCAGCTAAGGTCTGCGGGACTGGTCCAGGAGAATATCCAGGACTTGCCATATTTATTTAAATCTTATACTGCATGCTGGATTGCTGTGGAGAGGGTGGGAGGAGAAGTCAGAATCCCAGCCGTCCTTGACATCTAAAGAAATGCATGCAGCTGCAGAAGGATGTCCTTGCAGCTGCATTCCCATGGCCTTTGAGGGTCGGTGCCGGCACTTGACCTTCTCTCCAAGGTTCAGATGCGAATGTTTACTTACTCTAATCGTCAGCATCGTGGCTGTAAGCCGGTAAACTAGAAGTGTCCATGCATTGATGCAGAGCTCTCAGTCTGCTCCACCTGGTTGAGCTCACCTGGTGATCTGTCTGGAAAACCTGGCAAATGCTAGCTTGTGTATTCTTCTGTAGACTTTAGGTCTCCAGCCACCCAAGTCTATAGTGGACGCCTATGTGCTACTAAACTTAGGAGATTCCGTGACAACAGACCACATCTCTCCGGCGGGGAACATTGCAAGAAACAGTCCTGCTGCTCGCTACTTGACCAACAGAGGGTAAGTGTGGGTGAGACAGAAAGACTTGGAGCCAGAGGGAGGAAACACGGTGAATCTGGCATTTCTTTTCGCACGATGCCTTTGGGATCACACTGTTTTCTTTCTTTACTGAGTTTCTTTTCCTGCTTTTGTTGCCTAGTTAGCACCGTAGGAGAGCTCATGAATCACAAGTGTCCAGGAGTGACAGCTTCCTAAGCAAATGTATGCCCTAGGCTCGGTGTCAGCCCTGTCCCAGTGCACGGCAGAGCCTGTGTGAGGCCCAGCAGTGGTATAACCGGGCATTCATTACCGTGCCCTGCTGACACAGTGTGGACAGAGCCGCCCCCAGACTGTGCCTCACTCCCCACTCAGCCCCATTCATGCCAGTGTCGGAGGCACATCAGCATCGCCCGCTGCCAGCTGAGTACAGACGATGGGTTGGGGCCCCAGGTCTGATGAGACTCAAAAATTCCTCATTTCTGTCCACCCTTTTGAATCAGTTCCCTTGGAGAGAGGACTTGGAGCAAACTTGAGAAGCAGAGCAAATTTTCTCAGGGGGTGATTGGCTTGACATAGGAGCTCTTTCGGAAAATGAGTGCAAGCATATAATGTCCCCCTACTCCCAATGCACAAACCTGAAACGTTTTGAATAGGATTTCAGAGGTTCTGAGGCATATAGGTCTAATTATTTAGTAGTGTTAACATTCACCCCGCTATTGTAAATAGCAGGCCAGTGAACTGGCTACTGTGCCTGTTGGAACAAGCTGTCCTCGGCATCACAAAGTTCCTCCCATTGGTTCTCACGCATAAGATACAGGAACAGACATTGCTCTTGTGCCTCTAGCCCTGCCGTGATTCTTTCCTCTGGAAAGTTGTGTGTTATTTGCCACTGTGTTGCTTCCTTTTGCCTTGAGGCCCTGATTATTCAGGGACAAATTCAGGCCTACTTATGGTTAGTTTATGGAACATATTTAGTTGTCTCCATTCTCCGATCCATCTGACTGGCCTCCCTGTTTCATCTTACATGGAGCTGTGTGAGCTTCCTGCTGAGTTAAGAGGATAAACGCCTTGTAGAATTCTTCTAATTTTCTATCCAGATCTGAAAGACTCTTGAGTTGGCCCTGGAGAGTGCTGATTCCTGCCCTTCTCCGCCCCCGGCTCTCCAGTTGAAGCTTTGGCAGTAGCTGGCAGATTCAGTAACATGTTGGGTTTATGGCATTTTCTCGTCTGTGTGTAAGCTACGTTTTCTTTACTCACATCAGTAAAGAGCTCTGCCTGCTTCTGTTACTAGCCTGACGCCACGAGAATTCAACTCTTATGGCTCCCGCCGAGGAAATGACGCCATCATGGCACGGGGAACATTTGCAAACATTCGCTTACTGAACAAGTTTCTGAACAAACAGGCACCTCAGACTGTACATTTTCCTTCAGGAGAAAGTGTGAGTACAGCCTCTCTTCCTTTAAAAACCACTGTCTGTCAGACTTAGGAGCCTGGCTCTTCACAGCTGCAGCCTATCTGACTAACTACAGTTCTTGCTAGGCGTCCATTGGTGTGCCATTTATCATGATGGAGATTACAGCCTCTTGTTGCTTAGTAGTTGGGTACCGTGGTTCAACTAAGTCTCCTTTCATGGAAGTTGTGCTCAAAGAAATCTCTCAGTGTAATTTCATATATACTATAAGTACTTGAAGACTAAATTCCAGATTATTCAGGGTATTTATCAAGATCTGTGGTATGTCCCCACTGGTATTTGTTTTAATCTACTGCATCTGAAGCAAAAGGAAAAACCATGGTGGCCCTTTGAGGTCTGCCCAGTGCTGAAGGAGTTTTTTGAGGCTAGTGTGTATGCTGGAGTTGTTTATTCCTGGATGTGGGTGTGTGAGGTAGACTCTGTACTCAGAGCCTCCTGAGTTGGGGTCCTAGTACCAGTTATTTACCTCTCTGGGACTTCCTACAAATTTTTGACCTAGAAATAACACCAGCCATACGTGGCTCAAGGCTTAAAACAAAATGGGATGGACAGTAAGATCTGGGACAGTAGCACATTTGCAGATCCCCAAGGAGTATGGCCTGCCAGCTGCCTTCTTTTTTCTTTTCTTTAATTAAAATAGATTGTTTTTCATACAGCATATCCTGATTACAATTCCCCAACAACAACTTCTGAATTCCCAGTGCCCCTCCCATCCAGATCCACAAAACAAGCACATCAGAATAGAACAAAACACACAAAGAGGCCAAGCATTGGTAGCACCTTTAGTCCCTGCACTTGGGAGGCAGAGACAGGCAGATCTGTGAGTTCCAGGACAGCCTGGTCTACAGAGTTAGTTCCAGGACAGCCAGGGGCACACAGAGAAACCCTGTCTCAAAAAGCAAACAAAGAGAAGAAAAATCACAACAAACACATATAAGTACAGAGATGCACACATTTGTGCTCACACGGATCCAGCCCAGGCCAACTTGACACAAAATAATCCCATCTCTGCCATTGTGGCCATTTGTTCATGGGCCCACTGGGCATTGACAGGGATAGCTGAGGAAAGAGACTGACTATCCACAAAACAGGTCATGCTGTCTACTTAATTACTGAAATCTTTCTCAGATGAGGTTACCTTTTGATGAACATTCGTATGGACACAAGTATCTTCACATACTTTGCCCATTTTGGAGAGATCTATTCACATACTTCTTCCCTGATGTCTTTCTCACCAATTTTCATCATGTCCTTTCCAAGTCCCTGACCATCCAGCCAGTCCATTGGCTACTGCCCATGAATCAGTGAACAATTGCACATTTGGCCATTTCTCCTACCAAACGGTATGACTATATGTACTGTGAAGATTTTCCCTTCCCTGGTGTTTTTCATGGTTGTCTCAAAAGGGGTACTAGTGCTGTAGCTGTCCACTTCTGGGTGGTGTCTGCATGACATGCAGAACCATCAATAAACCAGGGAGAGAAGGGAGGGAGGGAGGGAGGGAGGGAGGAAGGAAGGAAAGAAGGAAGGAAGGAAGGAAGGAAGGAAGGAAGGAAGGAAAACAATCATCACCACAAAACAAGTTTTTGTAGCAATAACAATCACAAGCCAAGATCTTTGTTCATTAAAGAAAAAGACGAAGAAAGCATTAAAATATTCAAAGGCAAGGCTAATCTCTTTGGAAAACCTCTGGGAATATAGAAGAGGGACTGAACTCACACAGCGTAGCATCTGATTCCTGGGAGGACCTCCAAACAAAATGGGAGCTGGAGAGAAGGCTCAGCAGTCTGAGGCTGGCTGCTGCAGAGGGTGTTCCCAGCGCCCCCATCAGGCTGCTCACCGCCACCTGCAACAGCAGTTCCTGGGACCTGAAGCCTCTTGGCTGCCACAGGCAGCTCTACGAAGATGGTATACATACATTTGGGCCCATACACACAAATTAAATACATCTTTTAAGAGAGAGACAGAAAGGAAATTACCAAATTACTTAAACAACACAAGGAATATGCTTTGAAAAGGCCCAGTGAACACTAGCCACATGATTGCCAAGTCATAACATTTGAAATTAAGAAAAATAGAAATTAGGAAAAGCCGTACAAACACAGGAACTACAGTAACTGGAGCTGCTTCCCTGGGGGATTCTGAGCGCTACAATCTTGAAAGCACTTTTCGAGACACAAACTCTGCTAATTCACATAGCTAGCAAGCACTGTGGTGGCAGGTAGGTTATCTGCTTCTGATCCAGCCTGTTGGCTTGGGCAAGGGAAGGCACTTCCTGTAGTGTAGCAGTTTCCATATCCATGAGTTCTGACTAACCAAGACATAGAAACTTTCCAGATTCAGGTGGTAACAAATGAAATGACCCCCAGCCCCACCACCCACCCACCAGCATATAAACATGTTTAGTTAAAGACCATTTTAGAGCTTAACTAACGTCTTGTTGAGCTCCTTCAATTAACTCCCTTTTAGGACCTTTATTTTCTGATCTGCTTATCTGTGGACAAATAATTGTTCTTCAGTCACCAGTGATCCAGCTATCGGATGTCTGGGGAATTCTCAGCTCAGCAGAATATCTTGTGAGAAGCAAATTTGTTTGTGGAAGATGTTTTTCGTTTATTAAATTAGCTGACCCTGCCTGGCCTGTTGCTTCATGTTCCATGCATACTGCTGCTGCCTCTGTCTTGGCCTGCACATTAGAGGGGCAAGGAGACTGCATTTGATATCATTTCTAAACATACCATCTCCCGTTTTACTACCTCTACTGGGCCTCTAGTATTGGGCCAGAACCCAGACTTCATGGTGCTTTATCTTTTAAGTTTCAAATGGTTACTCAGTGCAAGAGAAGGAAAAGAAAATGGAATGTAGTTCCCTTTTTTCATCTGATGCCCTAGGATTTGAATTTATAAAACTGCACAGCAGTTACATTTGAGTCAGAAGTAAGTTCAATTTGGTGGAAATGAGCAGAAGAGTTAACTGGGGACTTACAGACCAAGCCCATGGCCAGAATTTTAGTTTTTCATCGATTTAACTGTGTTTCTTCTTCCTCAGCTTGACGTGTTCGATGCTGCTGAGCGGTACCAGCAAGCTGGACTTCCCCTGATTGTTCTGGCTGGCAAAGAGTACGGTTCGGGCAGCTCCCGAGACTGGGCAGCCAAGGGCCCCTTCCTGCTGGTGTGTATGGGGCAGAGGCTTCCTGTGGGAGCGGGGAAGGTGCTTGGGAAGAAATGCTGTGGCTTTGTGTCTAAAACATTAGGGGAGAGCAGATTGTGCAAAGCCTGTGATATTCACCCAGCCTGCTTGTCTGGATCTAGACTCCTTCCGCTCAAAGGGAAACAGTCCAAGGAGAGCTGGCTCCCGAGACTGGCACCATCGACTCTGTGGGTATCTGTAGTTAACTTTGAAGGAAGTCTGTGATACTCACCCAGCCTGCTTCTCCTTCTGCTCAAAGGGCATCAATTCAAAGGAGAGCTGGCTCCCGAGACTGGCAGCCATCAGCTCTGTAGGTATCTGTAGTTAGCTTTGGAGGAAAGCCTGTGAGGGCTAGCACATTCAGAAATATATATTCAGCTATCTTTTTTTTAATATGTAGAAAAAATTGCATGGCTTTCATAATTGTCACCCTCTAGAGGCAGTGAACCTGGGAGAATAAGCCAATAAATGAGGGGGACTGAAGCCTCACGCAATAGCCAACTTTATTCAGAGCCTCAGACAATTTATACTGTGGTAAGAAAGATCACATGAGTTCAAGCTGTGTACAGTCACAAAGACAAGCTGTATGTGGCAAAACCATAGAGATTATAAAGGATAATTTAAACATTTAATTGACTTGAATAACAACAGCAAGCAATAATGAGTAATCTGAAATAAACTCACTCTTATCTGCTACACCGGGGAGGAGCACAGAACACATTCCGAGAGCAATTCCATGTTTTAAAGAAACTGAGGTCACAAGACTCTGGTTTCTTGGAGTGTTCACAGGCACTCAGAACTCTCACATGACTCCAGGTTCCGACACATGGTTTATTAAGACTGTTGTCCTCGGCGGATGTAAGGAGTGCACTGCAAACCGTAAGGGGGCAGTAAGGAGCTGGGCTCCTTTAGAAGTGGGTTAAAGCAAGAGCAGGCGCTTTTATTCGAAATCCTATGTATTTAGTATGTCACCGGAGCGGAGTATACACAGGTGCATGCACATGAGAGCACATGCAGCCACAGTGAGAGGAAGGATGACTTGTGCTGATTCTAGCCTTGTGGGACCTAAGTCTTGATGGCAAACACCTTTACCCGCTGAGCGCTCTCGCCAGCAGGCTAGAAGGCAAGTGATGCTGACAGATCGCTGGTGGGTCGTGGGCAATCAGATCAGACCCACTACCAAGTTAATTGTGAGTAGAAGACGGCGTTTTAGGTGAAAGTGACTAGCAGGTACTTAGAATCTGGCTGTGAGAATTTCTGAAGAATTTGTAAGTTTTTGTGTATCTCCTAAAGAAAAAAATGGAGCTGTCTCCAAACTTCTCTTTTGGCACATCAGGGGATCAAAGCTGTCCTGGCAGAGAGCTACGAGCGAATTCACCGCAGTAACCTGGTCGGAATGGGGGTGATCCCCCTTGAGTATCTCCCCGGTGAAACTGCAGACTCTCTGGGACTCACGGGGCAAGAACGGTATACTATCAACATTCCTGAAAACCTTAAGCCGCGCATGAAGGTTCAAATAAAGGTAAGCAGAGCTTCTGCAGGCAGGAGGAAGAAATTAGTGGAGGGAGGGGAGTTAACTGGGGGTGACACTAGATATGAAGCCTACTGGTACTGTCCACCTTCCTCACGGCATACGGTAATACCTGCTGATTTTTTTTTTTTTGAGACAGGGTTTCTCTGTAGCTTTGGAGCCTATCCTGGCACTCACTCTGTAAACCAGGCTGGCCTCAAACTCATAGATCCACTGCCTCCGGGATTAAAGTCGTGCGCCGCCACCACCTGGCATCATATTTGTCTTAATTCATAGTGTTTATCAGTCCGTTTTGAACTCCTGTCCCCAACCAGCCCCCTTCTCTCAGTCTCTTTCACCCTGAAGAATAGTGATGAAAGTTCAGAGGTGATACTTTCCTGGTATCCAAAATTTTCCTTTTTTTTTTTTTAATGAAAATATGATCAGCAGATCCTTCGTGCACTCCTTCCGCAAACCTCATCCTTTAACTAGCCCCAGGGTTGTGTTTTAAGGGAGAAATGTCCCTTAGTCTCCAGCCCTTGAACTCTTGGTAACCAGTGGTGGTGGTGATGTGGGGGGGGGGGGGGGTTCAGTTGTGGCCTTGAGGAGGTGTGTCACTGGGGCCGGGTTTGAGAGTGCAGAGTCACCATCACAATTCCCGCCCTCTGCTTTCCACTGTGGGTGAGGAGGTGAGCTCTCAGCTTCCTGCTCCTCAGCCTCCTGCCATCTGCTGTCATGCCTTCCACCCTGATGCCTTCCCCCCCTGGAGCCACAAACCCTTCCTTCTCTAAGGCGCTTTGTCTCAGCAGTTTACACAGCAGCAGGAAGAAACTAACAGAGGTGATAACACATCCTTAGTGGAGGCAAAAATAGAGTGCCCAGCCCCAGAGTCCCAGGGGGACTTAGCACTACAGAGGCAGCTGCTGGGGTCCCAGGATGAGCCCAGTGAGCAGCTGGATGAGCTACCAAAGGAGCAACCTCAGTGGTCCCTGCTGCCCAGAGCACATCCAGAAAAGACTAGGAGAAAGCCTCACAGTGTGGCTCACCGCAGCTGTCCTGGGAGGCCGCCTTGTTCCCAGGGCCTCTCACCCACAGCATTAATTCTGCAGCTTGTCAACTTTCAGTGGGCACATGAATCCCCGGGGGTCTTGTTGAAATGCGCATGCTGATGCAGTAGGTCTGGCTGAGTGTAGAAAAGACCCGTCCTATGCTGCTGGTCCTGCTGCCATGTGGGCCACACTCTAACTGAGGCTCGTGGGCAGCCAAGTGGAGTCTCCTGATTCAGCAACTCTGTGCCTCTTTGTCTTTGTAGCTGGACACTGGGAAGACCTTCCAGGCCGTGATGAGGTTCGACACTGACGTAGAACTCACTTACTTCCATAATGGAGGCATCCTGAACTACATGATCCGCAAGATGGCCCAGTAGGTACTGGCCTCTCAGGAGACCCACCGTTGGTGCTAGACCCAACGAGGTACCAGGCCCCAGCTGGCGGAGGCCTGGTAACGCAGTCACCTCTACCTCTAGGGAGGGGCTGCCAAGATGAGCAAGGGGGCACTGCCATTCCTGGAGACACAGCCAGGAGTTTCTACATTCTTGATTGTTAATCTCTTCATGTTTTTCTATAATTTAAAATCTAGAATCATGGGAAGGTCGGTAATACCAAGAAGAAAACTACCTTGTCTTTAAGATACTGATCATTGGACATTGATTTTCACCCTGACTAATCTTCAACTGAACACTAACCAATATTCTCAAACAGGTCTCTTACCCTTTGTATTGTTCTTCTCTGTTCTCTGCTCAGTGAAACCTTCCGCAGAGAACCTGTTCCTCTGTACATTACACCAGTGTTAACTGACATAGCAAGAACTTCATTATGTTCAAATCATAGCAGTGACGTCATCCTCTCCTTCTAGATGAGCCAAGACCTGGTGGATAGGTCAACCATCAAAAGTATGTGATTTATGTACCTTCCAATCAGCATGAGAGAGATCACCTTTTACCATTTTCAACATTTGTTGAGAGGGCGCCTTTGTTTGACAGTAACTGGGAGAGAGACGGGATTTCTAATTTGGATAAGATTAAATATATTTTCATGAAAATGTGTTGCCTTTGGAATTGAGTTCTGTTGGGAATGTGACCACAGTGCTGTGATGCTGAAAGCCATGTGAGCCCTGAAAGGCCTTCATGTCTGCTGTTTCTATCACTGCATCAGAACAACAGACAGAGGGGACCTCCAGGAGCCAGTGTGTCAGCTGAAAGGCCTTCCTGTCTGCTGTTTCTATCACTGCATCAGAACAACAGACAGAGGGGACCTCCAGGAGCCAGTGTGTCAGCTGAAAGGCCCTGTCTGCTGTTTTTATCACTGTATCTGAACAACAGACAGAGGGGACCTCCAGGAGCCAGTGTGTGAGCTGAAAGGCCTTCCTGTCTGCTGTTTCTATCACTGCATCAGAACAACAGACAGAGGGGACCTCCAGGAGCCAGTGTGTCAGCTGAAAGGCCTTCCTGTCTGCTGTTTCTATCACTGTATCTGAACAACAGACAGAGGGGACCTCCAGGAGCCAGTGTGTGAGCTGTCTGTTTGAGCAGAGGACAAGAAAGGTCCTTCTACCCTGGTCACAGCAACAGATCTTGGTGACCTAAGATCTGTCCACTCATTTTCATAACTGGAATTATTTCATGGCATGCCTTGTTCTGCTGCCGTAACAAATGCCACAGACTATAAATCATCCATCTTTCGCGCACACACGCGCACACACACACCTTCTTTTCTCCCTGGAGGCTGGTTTGCTGCCACTCCCTTGGCTCTCACACTGTAAGCCTAGCTTCCTCCTCATATGAGAACTAGAGCTCAGGGTGTTACCTGAACCCTGAGACCAGCCAGCGCCTCTGTTAGGGATTAAAATTTCCATTGTGGCAGGGGCTGCCTTGTGTCTCTTTAAGTATTTTTTTTAATGAAAAGTAAAAATTATATTTACTTTGTACATGACTTTTTAAAATATGTAAGCATTGTAGAGTGACTAACTTTTTATAGTTACTTTTTGTGGTGAGAATACTTCCAAGAATATATTTTTGAAAGAATATGTGTTACAGGTATTAGCAGCAGTCACCTTGCTGTACCACAGAGCTCCTAAGCTCCTCCCTCCTGAATGAAGTCCTTCCATGGCGTCATATATGGCTTACAATACTTTCGCCCATGTCTTCCATAGCCGACTCTTCACTGCTTCCTTTTATTTTGATGCTCGTCTCAGCCCCTTGTAATTACTGCTGCATGCATATAACGATAGACATAGTGAGGTTGGGCAGTTATTTTTCTTTTGTGTGTGACTTTTTCATTTAGTGTAGTGTCCATAAGGTTCACCCATATTGCCACAGATAGTATATTTGCATGTACACACATGCACCTATTTACTTATTGATCCAGCCATGGATAGACACTAGACAATAGCAGATTTCATATCTTAGCTTTTGTGGATAATGCTGAAATGAATATTGGCACAGGTGTCTCTTCAACATACTGGTTTAACTCCTTTGGATGCATAACTAGAAGAGGAATTTCTGGGTCATAATAGTGTTCTTCTTGAGTTTCTAGAGGGCGCCACAGTGTCTTCACGTGGACATGGCCTCCAGGTGTGTACACACATCCCAATCCTCCACGCTCTTGCCAGCACTAACCTCTCATCTTGTTGGTAGTGACCATACTAATGGGTTGGAAGTGCTAACTCAGGGCTTTCTTTGCAGCTCCCTGATGACTAATGATGTTGAGTCTTTCCGTATACATGTTAGTCATTTTTGTGGCCTCTTTTGAAAAATGCCCAAATCTTTTGCCCATTTTTATTTCAATTATTTCATTTTGTTGTTGAATTTTAATGCCACATATTCTAGATAGTAGCTATTTATCAAATATATTCTCCTATTTTGTAGTTAATCTGACCCTTGCTATTTCCTTGGCTATAAAACTTTTAGTTTGAAGCAGTTTTATGGTCCTGTTTTCATTTTTGTTGCTGTTGTCTTTGAAGTTATGACCAGAAAAATTGTTACTATAACCAATGCCATGGCATTCCCCCTATGTGTTTAATCTAATATTTTTATGGAGTGAGATCTTATGCTTATGTCTTCAATCTATTTTTAGTTGTTGTTGTGTGTGTGTGTGTGTGTGTGTGTGTGTGTGTGTGTGTGTGTGTGTGTGTGTAAGATAAGGGTCCAACTTCATTCTTTTGCAAGTAGCCATCCATTTTTTCCAACAGCATTTATTAAAGAGACAACTCTTCTCAATGTGTGTTCTTGGCTTCCTTGTTGAGGTTTATTATTGGGGGTGGTTCTGTTCTTTTCCATTGGGTTATACATTGGGTTTCCCATATGTTTTTATGTTAGCCCCCTGCTATTTTCATTGCTATCTATGTCTTTGTAATATCTTTTGAAGTTAGATAACAGTAGTAACTCCAGTGTTGTTTTTATGCTCAGTATGCCTTTGACTGGAGGGAGTCTTTTGGTTTTATATACGTAATAAGGTTGCTTTTACATCTTGAAAAACATGATTGGGAAAAAAATAGCATTAGGAATTTCATAGGATTGCATTGAATCTGCAGATCATGGGGTTAGGACAGACAGGTTAATAGCTTTAATTCTTCCACTGCATGGAATTTAATTTCCTTAATTTCTCCTTTGACTCATTAGCTGTTGAGGAATATGATATGTATACGCTCTTTGCACATTTCTAAAAGGCCTCCAGATACCTGGAGTTGTGCTCACCAAGAGGCCTTCACGGGTCATGCGACACTGCAGGCTGTCTTAAAAATGAGTGACACTCTGGTCACATATAAAAACTTCCTCCCAAGTTTTGTATTTTAATGCCATCCTTGACATGTTTTTATATTGTGCATCTCTTAACAAATGGTTGTGACAGTTTGACATTTTAATAGTGTTGTCTTTAAACCTTTAGAGTGGAAGTAAATGGTAGTAAAGGGTTTATATACCAGACAGCAGAGTGCTCCATTGGGTGTCACATGCCAGACAGCAGAGTGCTCCATTGGGTGTCACATGCCAGACATCAATGTGCTCCATTGGGTGTTACATTCTACACAGCAGTGTTCTCAATTGGGTGTATACCTTCTTCCCCTGTGAGTTTTGTGCTTTTCTGTCTTTTCTCGTTTGTAACTTCAGATTGAAGTGCTGCCTGTGGCGTTTCCCGTGACAGGTCTGTTGGAGATGGCTCTTCATCGTATGTGGGGAAAGCCTTTATCCGTTCTTCATTTTAGAAGAACAGCTGTTCTAGGAACAATATTCTTGACTGGCAGTTTGGGAGGAGAAGGTGTTTGATCCTTGGTCTTCTCAGGCTCCAGAAATTTCTATGCTTAAGCTAGCCAGGCTGTGAGATTTTGTTGTAACAGCCTGTGTGGACTAAGACACTGGTTGTGAGGGAAGTTTCTTATGGCTTTGACTCTGGAATGTGGCCCTTTTAAGTCTATCTAAATGTATCCTCTGTTCTTTTTTTTTTTTTTCTTTTTTTTCTTTGGTTTTACGAGACAGGGTTTCTCTGTATTGTTTTGGAGGCTGTTGGTCCAGCGTGGCCTGGAACTCACAGAGATCCGCCTGCCTCTGCCTCCCAAGTGCTGGGATTAAAGGCATGCACCACCACTGCCCGGCTCTGTTCTTTTTGCTTTAGTATTTTTGGCCTGTGTCCTATGCTGGTCCAAACTAAGACTGTGCAATCTTTTACCAGAGTTCTGGTGCTGGCCCACGTACACTCCAACTGAAAGTATAGCTCTTGCTGGTTCCATCCCCTTCTTCCTCTTGAAAAGGGATGATAATTGCCTTTGTGTTTATGGTTTTCTAAGTCCTTTACTGCCTTATCCTTCCAATGAATAGACTTTCCCTGGCAACCAAAGTGAGTTAACTGGCAACTTTACTGAACACAGCAACAAAGTACATGTACATTTGAGGGGTGTGTGTGTGTGTGTGTGTGTGTGTGTACAATGTTTGTGCTACATAAAAAATACTATGTAAAGGAAAGATATGTAGTCATGTCAGTCTCAGGGTGTTAGAAACACAGCTCAGAGTTGATGGGGGATGACCTTTTGTATGCTGTGAATATATGCTTCCCTTATTGGTTGATGAATAATAAATCTGTTTCAGCCAGTAGGCAGGCAGGATTTAGCCAGGCAGGAAATCCAAACAGGGATAGAGGAAGATAGTAGGCAGCGTCAGAGAGATGCCATGTAGCTACTGGGAAGGTAAGATGCCCAGGCATTCTCTGGTAAGCCAGGACCTCATGGACATACATAGATTAATAGAAATGGGTTAATAACTAATAAAGAGCTAGGCAATAAGAAGCCTGAGCCATAGCCCAAACAATTTATAATTAATATTAGTCTCTGTGTGTTTGTTTGAAACTAAACTGCTAAAAGGGACCAGGCAAGACAGAAACTTCCATCTACACAAAGTGGGTTAGGCAAAAAAGGAAAACTAAATTGGCCTTTGTTGCTAAAAGGATAGTGACATCATGGCCTCAGGCTTAGATGGTTCTAGTGACTTAAACTCAGGCTCCTTACCCATCATCTCACATTCTCATGGCCTCTGAGATACGTCTATTTGTATTCTTCTGAGTCCCTCCATGGGTCAGGGTTATGGCTACCATCCTCTGTTTGATGTCAGTTAATCATTTGTCATCACAAACATTTGCCTCGGGCACAGACAGCAGGACTTTCTATTCATCCGTGAAGAACCTTAACTTTGGCACAGCTTCTTCAGGGCTGTGTCAGTGTCTTAAGGTACTCTTCTGTTGCTGTAGGAATACACCTTGGCCCAGCTTCCTCACAACTGTATCAGTGTCGGAGTTACTCCTCTGATTTTGGAGGGATACACCCTGACAAAAGCAACACACGAGAGAAGGGGTTATTCTGGAGTAGGGTTCCAGAGGGTTATCGCTCATCCTGGTAGAGAAGACACGGCAGCAGGCGGGGAAACGCAGCAGGAGGCAGAGTGAACAGGAAGTGGAGGCTGCTGTAAAGTCTCTGGACCCGCCCCCAGACTTCCTCCAGAGAGGCTCCACCTCCTCTGGGTTCCACACCCTTCCCCAACAGCACCACCCTCTGGAGACCAAGCGTTCAAAAGGGATGACTTCAGGCCACAATTGAGATAGTGCGGGAGGGGGCGGGTGTAGCCAGTAAATGGGTTATCCAGGAGTCAAACAGCCCTGCTTGTGAGAACCTTTCCACTGGCCACGGGCTGCTTTAGGAAGTTGTTAAATGTCATCACCACAGATGTGGTTTAGCACTCAACTAGTTTCTGTTCGCTTAGACAAATTGCCATAAACAAAGCTAATCAAAGCTGCTGTTTTTATTACATGTTTTAGAAGTTTGCAGCCAGCAAGTCTGAACCTGTCTGTTAAATACAGATTTGTAGAGTGAACTGGTAGTTCTATTTATGGTGTATGAAAACAGTTACTGACATGATCCAGACGTGTATGGTTCACTTGGATTCCACCTGTCTCGCTGGTATCCCAGCTACATATCTACCCCTGGGTTTCTACAGGATGCTAATTAGCAATGTCCAAAGGACAGAAGTGTTTCGGGACCACTGGCTTCAATGGTTGTGAATCTGACAGAAGCAATACTATGACCCTGTGTGCTGTAAACACTAAGAAAGGCCTAAAAGCCTCCCGGGCCGTGCAACGCATCAGAGGACCTCACAACACCATCCCACGAGACTCGCTTTCAGGTCCTGCCATCCGGTTGGCCTGTTATTTGGAATCTGGTTAATACTGAGAATTTTAAGTACAGGAGCCAGGACTTCAGCCTCGCTGTGTAATGATGAGGCTTTTGAAGATTCCCGTTTCAGGATGAAAATGGCACAGTATCAGTACTGACCACAAAATAGCAAGGTCTGTGACTGCAGGGTAAATTGTATCTGAACTTCGAAAAGGACACATGCAGGCAGCCTGTGAGGACTCTAGCGGGGACTGGCCCTGTGCTCATGAGCGATTCCAGATACAGCCTTCCACTAGGAAGTCCAAAGACCAGAATTCTGGCATTCTCAAAACCTGCCGATTTTACTCATGCAGTACTTACTGAGGCAGGGTGTGCTCCATTCCAAGGTGTACCTGAAAGTAGTTTTACTTGGTGAACAACAAAAATTCTCAGTTCAGTTTCAGCTTTAGTCTGCTTTTCTCCATTGGCAGAGAAAGAACTATTTATTTCACTTCAACTAAATTATCATTGCAGGGGCTGGAGCAATGTCTCAGGAGTTAGGAGCACTGGCTGCTCTTCCAGGGGTCCTAAGTTCAATTCTTAGCACCCACATGGTAGCGCACAACCATCTATAACTATAGTCTGAAGGATCCTATGACCTCTTCTAATGTGCCCATGTACATGCAGACCAAACACCCCCACACACAAAACATATAAATGATTTTAATTAGTTAAATCTTGTTTAAAGGAATTTTTTAAATAATTTCCAGTAGATATCTCATATGTGCTATAGCATTTTTAAGCAATAGCAGCAAAGAAATGCATCACATTAAAAGTGATTAATGAAAGTCAACTCCTAGAAAATTCATTTGATCCATTTATATTAAGAATTTTTCCAAGAACCACCATCAAATACTATATAGCATTTTTCATACATTCTATCAATTAAAAGCCTAATCCCTACAGTTTGTTTTTTTTTTCTGAAAATAAGTTATATTGCTGGTTAATTTCTCTGGACGTAAGAACAAGTGGGAAGTGGGGTGTGATCCTACGTCATTCTGTTGACCGCCATGGTTGATTTGGGTGGTCCATTGTGCACTGGGTAGTCCTGGGATGGTCTTCAGATGTTATGTGAAAAGTATTATGTGGTCAAAGACCTCTGTGGCTTTGCTTAGGCCATTGATGGTACTAATGATTTACACCTAACTTTTAGGAAGGTGTTTAAATCACTGCACCGCCTGCCTCCAAATCAGTGCAGTTCCTACCCTGAACTGAACAGAGTCCCTTAGTATAACAACACTGGGGCACTTGTGTCTTGATCTGAGGAACTCCATACTAAGCTCTCTGAAGCATTTGTAAACTTCAACAAGAGATATCGGAATGCCATTTGAATATATAATCTTTAAAAAGAAAGGGCAAACATCTGACAGAGGGCTGATCTTCAAAATATACTAAGAACTCAAAGTAGACATTAAACTATCAAATAATTCAGTTAAAAATGGGGTACAGATCTAAATAGAATTGTCAACAGAACAATCTCAATGGCAGAAAGATACTTAGGGAAATGCTCAACATCCTTAGTCATCAGGTAAATGCAAAGCAAAACAACTCTAAGATTCCATCTTACACTGATCAGAATGGTTAAGATCAAAAACACCAATGATAGCTTATGCTGGAGAGGATGTGGAGAAAGGGGAACACTCCTCCATTGCTGGTGGGAGTGTAAACTTGTACAGCTGCTGTGGAAATCAACATGGCAACTTATCAGAAAATTAGGGATCAATCTACCTGCAATACCACTTTTGGGCATATACCCAAAGGAGGCACACTGACACCACAAAGACATTTGCTCAACTGTGTTCATAGTAACATTCATAATAGCCAGATCTTGGAAACAACCTAGATGCCCTCAACTAAAGAAAATATAAAGAAAATGTGGTACATTTACACAATGGAGTACTACTCAGTGGTAAGAAACAATGACATCCTAAAATTCTCCGGCAAATAGAACTAGAAAAAAATATCCTGAGTGAGGTAACCCAGATCCAGAAAGACAAATATAGTATGTGCTCATTCAAGTGGATACCAGTCATAAAGCAAAAGATATCTACAACCAACAACCCCAGAGAAGCTAGAACCCTCTTCCAGAAACAGATGGAGTCAGATGCAGTAATCCACGGCTAATCAATGGGCCAAGCTTCTGGAGTATAATCGAAATAAGGGAGGAGCAATAATATGAACAAAGGAGTCAAGACCAGGATGGTCTGACAAATGGGGAACCTGCATAAGACCAAACTAAACTCCCTTAATATAGGTGACAATGGTGTGGCTGGGACAGTATATGAGGTCACTGGCAGTTGGTTCAAGATCTAACACTAATGTACAAACTGACTTAGTGGGGGCACATTCTATATGGAGAGATACCTTGCTCAGCCTAGACATGGGTGGAGGTGGGGAGGTGCCCTGGTCCTGCCTCAATGAGATGATGGGAGAGACTTAGTAGACTTCCTGGGGAGAACTTACCCTCTCTGAGGAGCAGATGGGGGTGGGGTAAGTGGGAGGAGAGGAGGGGGAATGGGGATTGGAATGTAAAAATTAAATTAATAAAGATAAATATTATTTTTTTAAAAGGCAAGCCTTTCATCATAGCACTAGAGGGGCAGAGATGGGCAGATCTCTGAGATCAAGACCAGCCTGGTCTACATATCTAGTTTCAGGTCTACAGAGGGGTCCTGTCTCAAGGGGAAAGAGAAAGGGTATTGGGGAGGGGGAGACAGGGACATGATTTGAGATGTCTAATCAAGGAGGGGAAATTGCCCAAGTTAAAAGGATCTTAGAGTAAGATGTATAGTAAATGAACAGTATAAAATACCTTCTCAGCAAGCATGGCTGTCTGCTATAGTGTTTTAAATTTTAAAGGCATATGTCACTTTAATATATACATGTGAGCATATTGAACCTTGCAATCACTATGTCCACAAAAACCAATGGGAAAAGACTGGAAAGAAACAGAAACCAATAGGATCCAAAGGAGTGTGACAGAGCCAAAAGTAGGAAAAGAGTCCAATGCAAGAACTGGAAGAGCGCCGGGTGGTGGTGGTGGTGGTGGTGGTGCACGCCTTTAATTCCAGCACTCAGGAGGCAGAGGCAGGTGGATCTCTGTGAGTTCGAGGCCAGGCTGGACCGACAGCCTCCAAAACAATACAGAGAAACCCTTTCTCGTAAAACCAAAAAAAAAAAAAAAAAAAAAAAAAAAAAGACCTGGAAGAGCCTGGTGGCCTTTAAGGGCAAAGTCAGCTTGTGGCAGGTTGAGCAGTCCGGATGTATTGAGTGACTGTGTGTTCATTGGCAGGCAATCCTGAAAAGCATAAAAGGGACTTTTTTTTAATCCCCCCCCCACTGCCAAGTGCTCTGAGTTATTGGCGAATAAGGTATTCAGTGCTCCAGTTCATGCAAACGCGCTTCGTGGGGATAAGAACTGCTCGGAACAAACATGTCAGGTTATCTGGCATTCCGACACAGTGTAAGCTTGTGTGACAAAGGACTGGTTCATTGTTTCTTCACTCCAAGCCATCCTTCCCTGTACTCAGGAGCCCCAAGGTCAGTTAGACATTTCTGCAGGGTCAAACTGTATTCTTTCAAAATGGAAGTCCTTCCACTTTGAGTGCCGGTTCTGAGCTCCACTTGCAATATCTTCCACCACAAAGCTTTCAATTTTTATGACTGGAATCTCGAACATCTTGTATTTCACTTGAATTCCCCAGTCGTGGCAGCAGTTCTGGATGGCACAGAATATTTTTGCATCCTTCTTGAAGCCATCATAGACCTTTGGTTTAGGGTGTGGCTTAGACACAAAGCGCTCCTTAAAAGCCTTTCCAACGACGGTGTAGTGGGATTTCTGCGAGGAAGACATTGAACGCAAAACAATGTTAGAAGCAGTCTGGAAAGGGCTTAAAAACTGCTCACCAGCCAGGGAGGATGAGTGAGTGGGATCTCTGTTATTGTACAGATGGAAACAGGAGAGGCTGGACAGTCTCCTGCAGGTCGGAGAAGGGCCCATTTACTGCAGGTCGGAGAAGGGCCCATTTACTGCAGGTCGGAGAAGAGAAGGGCCCATTTACTGCAGGTCGGAGAAGAGAAGGGCCCATTTACTGCAGGTCGGAGAAGAGAAGGGCCCATTTACTGCAGGTCGGAGAAGAGAAGGGCCCATTTACTGCAGGTCGGAGAAGAGAAGGGCCCATTTACTGCAGGTCGGAGAAGAGAAGGGCCCATTTACTGCAGGTCGGAGAAGGGCCCATTTACTGCAGGTCGGAGAAGGGCCCATTTACTGGGCCTCATGGGCTGGAGGAAATACAAGTGCAGTGTGCAGAGCCCCTAAGAAGACGGTACTAGTTCACCAGAGGCCAGAAAGGCACAAGCCAAAGCACAGGGATGAACTCCAAGGGTCAGTGTGTGTGAAGAGGCTCAGGAGCTGGGCTGTAGCTGACTTAACAGTGTACCCTGCAGAAGCCGGGCGGTGGTGGCGCACGCCTTTAATCCCAGCACTCGGGAGGCAGAGGCAGGCGGATCTCTGTGATTTCAAGGCCGGGGTGGACCCATAGCCTCCAAAACAATACAGAGAAACCCTGTCTCGTAAAAAAAAAAAAAAAAAAGGAAAAAAAAAAAAAAAAGAGTGTACCCTGCAGAAACAAGCACAGACCCAGATCCCATCCTCCAGGGAAATGGACTAACGTGGCCACTGTCAACAAGAAGCCTTTGAAATTGGAGCTGAAAGGACCTTTTCCACCTAAAGAATCAGATTCAGAAAACAGAGGTCACTCCTAATAAGTAACATGCTTCTTGACCAAATGGTCCCATCCCCTAGGTAGTCCATCCGTCTACCACCCATCACTGGTAGCAAGAATTACACCAGCATTCATATTTAATTAAAAGTTTTAAGGGGCCAGACGTGGTGGTACACGCCTTTAATCCCAGCACTCAGGAGTCAGCAACAAGTGGGTCTCTGTGAGATCAAGGGCAGCCTGGTCTACAGAGTGAGTTTCAGGACAGCCATGCCTGTGTAGAGACCCTATTTCAAAAAAAAAAAAATTTAAGATTTATTTATTTATTACATATACAGTGTTCTGCCAGAAGAGGACACCAGATTGAATTGTAGACGGTTGTGAGATACCATGTGGTTGCTGGGAATTGAACTCAGGACCCCTGGAAGATCAGTCAGTGCTCTTAAGCTCTGAGCCATCTCTCCAGCCCCCCCAAAAAATTTTTAAGGGGGGAAAAAGTAGAAAGCAACTTGCAAATGCTACCTTTTTTTTTTTTTTCCTTTTCTCTTTTTGGTTTTTTTAAGACAGGGTTTCTCTCTGTGTAACCCAGGATATCCTGGCACTCTGTAGACCAGGGTGGCCTCTAACTCAGAGACCCACCTGCCCCTGCCTCCCAGATGCTGGAATTAAAGGTGTGTGCACCACCACTGCCCTCAGCTGTGTTACACTTTTTAAATAAGGGGTTTTGCTTTCATTACAAATGTGATCTCTGGAGCTAGGCAGAGACAGTTCAAGGCCAGTGAGGTCCACAAAGTGAGACTTCCAAAAGAACCTTTTTTTTTTTTTTTTTTTTGGTTTTTTGAGACAGAGTTTCTCTGTAGCTTTGGAGGCTGTCCTGGAACTCACTTTGTAGACCAGGCTGGCCCCGAACTCACAGAGATCCGCCCGCCTCTGCCTCCCGAGTGCTGGGATTAAAGGCGTGCGCCACCAACGCCCGGCTCAAAAGAACCTTATTTTTTTATCAAATTGGCACACAACTGTCCGTGCATATAATGTTCAGTATGATAATTAACCTAAGCACGGAATGATCCCATCAGAGTAATTAGCATTCCATGTCATCTCTTCATGTTATGAAGCTTTGACTTTCCCTCATCTGCTTTTTTTTTTTTTTTTTTTTTGTAGAAGTTGTAATGAACTGGAAACTGTAAGCGGAACTGGCCTGCTGTGTGGTGGAACCCTGACTCTCAACCACCCTGCCTGACTGGGGCAGCTGTAGTTAGGCCTCCCTCTCCTCCCTGGCCTCTAGCACCCTGCCTGACTGGGGCGGCTGTAGTTAGTCCTCCCTCTTCTCCCTGGCCTCTAGCACCCTGCCTGACTGGGGCAGCTGTAGTTACGCCTCCCTCTCCTCCCTGGCCTCTAGCACCACTACTCTATCGTGTGCTTCCAGAACATCAGCTTTTCAGGCGCCCGCATATAAGCACGATTGTGTTTCTTACTACAAGGACCATGGCCAACAGTCACAACACAAGTAATAGCGTCCTTGCAGCAAACATTTCTCCGGGAGATGACGAGCTTTAGCGGGAACTGCAGACTGCCAGGGCCACTCACCTCAACCACCCGGATGTCAGCTGTGTAGCACGCAAAGGCCTTGCACTTCCCACACAGCAGTTTCTTATTCTCCTTATCAGGGGCAGGTTGTGGTTTGTGCTGGCTGTCTCTGATGAACTTTTCATCCAACTGTATCTGGTGAATCTACATGCCAAAAGAAAACTCTCTTGAATGACCATAACTAGCACACAAAGATAAATAAATGCACATGGTCACAACGTGTACACATGTGTGCACATGCACATACACACACACACTCACACACACACTCAAATATAACATGAGCATACAGTACCTATTTGTATTGCTTTGTTTATAATATAAAGTCAACCTCAATTTCTTTGGTCCTTTTTTGTTTGTTTATTCTTCTTTCTTTTTTATTTATTTTTTATTAATTTATTTTTTACATTCCAATCCCCGCTCCCCCTCCCTCCTTTCCTCCCACTCCCTCCACTCCCCCCTCCTCCCATCTGCTCCTCTCAAAGGGTAAGGCCTCCTATAGGAAGTCTACTAAGTCTGTCCCATCATCTAGTTGAGGCAGGACTCCTTTGGTCCTTTTAACTCTTCAGCAGTCAGTGTTTAAATACATCCTCCATTAATCTTTCAGTAACTTCCATAAACATGCCTGGCAAATCCATGCTTTCTACTTCAGTGGTTTGCAAAACTTTAGGAAACCTTCTCAAATCGACCTAACATTTGGATGCTTCAGGCATGAGTCAAAGGAATGGATCAAGAGGAGAATAGCCCTCTATCTGAAACCTCCCCTCAAGCACAAAATATAGCACTGAATTCCAGCGGTACAGTGTAATGCCTGCATAGTGCAGCTGTATTCTAACTCAGAATGTGGACTCTGGCCGAGAACAGAAAGAACTGGGCTTTATGACAAACCAAATGACAGGTTATGAAGAGTGAGGAAAGGGCAGACCGGCCAGAAACACTGGGGTCCTGGGAACAACGTGATGGTAGGTCCCTCCCTGGATTTTCTGTTCGTCTATATGTGCAGACTTGAAACTGAAGCAGCTGGCATCAGAAGTGCTCAGAGGGAGAAACAAAAAGTCCCAAGGAAAACCTGCTGTCCCCCAGGAAAGAAATGGAAAAGATCAACCTCGAAGACAAAAATCTTTAGAGCCTAAAGTTTAGACAATATAACTGATTTCCTCCCTGGGAGAGGGCACTGTAGCCCAACCCCTCCCTACCTGTGCCAGCACCAAGGGGAAACTAAGATCTCTACTTTACAAAGCTATAATTAGGCCCCAATTATCAGGATGGAGCAGGGTCTTCATCCCCATTGATGGAAAGCATAGACCCCATTCACCCCTCCCTTCTTACACACAGTCCAGTAAGACCCTATGAGGAAACAGAATTCCCCCTCCACCCAGCAGTACCAAGTGTGCCCCTCCCCTTGCTACCATCAGAGGCTGGACATCTGCTCCCACAGAAGGTGATGAAGCAGTGGCCTACCTCCTAACCAGAGCCCAGCCAGAAGCCAGTGAACAAAGGATTGCTACGGTTCAGAGTCTCAGGAACAGCAAATGAAAATGCCTAAGTTTCAAACGCCTCTGTTTGTATCACAAAAAAGGATGAACTATACTGAATGGAAAGGTGACAAGCAATGATCCTGATGCCAAAATGACAAGAATTATGTGGTAAAGAATTTAACAGCCAGGATAAAAATGCTTCCATGAACAGTCACACACATTTGATTATGGGGAAATACACAGGTTCATAACAGCCCAAACTAAAAGCTCAGCAGATGGACTGGACTGGAGGGGACCAAGGAGCAATTGTGAACTAAACACTAGAATAAGTGCTGAGAGATGGCTCAGCAGCCCATAACAAGCACTGGCTGCTCTTCCCGAGGGCCTGGGTCAGTTCCCAGCATCCACAGAGCAGCCGACAACTCTCTGTAGCTCAGTTCCAGGAGAGCTGATGCCCTTCTCTGGCCTCCTTGAGCACCAGGACGAGAACTTGGTACAGACAACACATAAATGCATACTATATTATATATAATATACATTTAAACTAGAACAAATGAAATTACCCCCAATCAACACAAAGAAAATAGACTAAAGAAAAAACAAACAAACCAAAAACACTCTTTGGGACATACACAGCTACTGAAGATTTTTTTTTTTACACATGACATCTATGTCATTAGAGTCCAGAAACAAAGCAAGATTTGGAAAGTCATAGAAATAATGGCCAAACAATTCTGAAATGTGAAGAGCAGCAAGGCCGAAGGAAGTGTCATAGTTATTTTTCAAATACTAAAAGAATTATCACTCTCGCCCATCAAATCCCCATTCCAAAAATGAAGGGGAAAATCAAGGTATTCTCAGAAGAAACAAAACTAAGAATTTACCACTGTCACACCTACAATGTATAATGAGCTATATGTATGATATTCCCAGGCTGCAACCTTCATACTATCACACCAAAGATTTTTCTTTTTCTTATTTTCTCACTGTGTACCCTGGCTGATTTGGAGCTTGCTATGTAGACCAGGCTGGCCTCAAACTCAGAGATCTGCCTGCCTCTGCAGGTCTGGAATTAAAGGCATTTCCTACCAAGCCCATCCTTGTAAGGTGAGGTCTACATACCCATAGCGCTGACCATGCCCGTTTGGGTGTGCTCACATGCACGTACCCTGAAACCAGTTTGGGACTACATCGCTCCATACAACTCCAGGCTAATTAACTGATATGGTGCACCTTCTACACTCTGGTCAAAGCCTTGGACAAGAACTTCAATCAGAATTAGAACTTCAGTCAAGCATCTCCCGCCAACAGGGTACAAATACTGTAGCCAGTCCACTTAAGACTTTCACTACACTAACATCTTCCTACAGGATCCCATGAGGTTATCGTCATCCCATTTCAGCAGGAAGTAATTCAGAGAATACTACGCCCTCTTCCCTTACTGTTGACATTACACCTGTTAGAGTTAGTTTTCAATTGTTTAGGGTTGGGATTGGAAGATGTTCAGACTTGGGCATCTCTTTCAGATATGTTTAGGGTTGAGATGGGATAGATATGCTTAGGATAGGATATACGTAGATTATAATTTGTTTATGAGCTACTATGTATATACGCTTTATATATGTTTGAGACATTGTATATTGACACAATTTAGTTTTGTTTTAAGTCTAAATCTTTTCTTTAGACTAAAAGGGAAATTGTAGGGAGAGGTCTATGTACCCATAGCACTGACCACGACCATTTGGGTGTGTTCACAGGGGGGGATAAAAAGAGCGAGGGGGAGGAGACACTCTCTCTTTGGGTTCCAGTTGTGGCCTAGAGAGCAGCATGTGGACCTTTGATTCTCGACTTTCTTGGCTTTTGGTTCTCACCTTTCTTGGCTTCTCACATAAGTGACTTCTCTCTCAATAAAGTATCATAGGACATCCCTGTTTTGTGTATGTTAACATTTCCACATTACATCCTCTTAGATTTTCTCGGTTTTGTAAATAAAACAGAGAGGAGTGGAACTGGGTGAGGTGGACAAAGCATCTGGATCTGGAAGCAGGAAGATCAAAACTTCAAGGTCATCCTTAGCTGCATAGTGAATTTACAGCCACCTGGGCTAAGTAACGCCTCTATCTTAAAAAAAAAAAAAAAGAAAAGTGGGCTGTCTTAGTTAGGGTTTCTATTGTTGTGAAGAGACACCATGGCAAGTCTTATACATTAAAACATTTAATTGAGTGACTTGCTTATGGTTTCAGAGATTCAGTTTATTGTCATCATGGTGGGAAGCATGTCAGCATGCAGGCAGACATGGTGCTGGAGAAGCAGCTGAGAGAACAACATCTTGCAGACAACAGGAAGTCTCCTGAGACACTGGGCAGTATCTTGAGCCCAGTGACACACTTCCTCCAACAAGGCTATATCTACTTCGACAAAGCCACACCTCCTAATAGCGTCATTTTCTATGAACTTATGGAGGCCAATTACATTCAAATTACTACATAAGGGTTATGTTCCTGTTTTCAAAAAAAAAAACAAGTTTTCACTACTGTGAAACCACTTATGACATGTACTTACTCTTTATAATAATTAGGGTTACATGATTTACACATTCCTTTATGAGTAATTGATCTAATTTGGTTTGGTTTGGTTTGGTTTTTCGAAACAGTTTCTCTATATAACAGCCCTAGCTGTCCTGGAATTAGCTATGTAGACCAGGCTGGCCTTGAACTCAGAGAGATCTGCCTGCCTCCACCTCCCAGCTGCTGAGATTAAAGGTGTGTGCCACCATGCCCAGATTTTAACTTCCTTTTTTAAGATACAGATCAAGGTGAATGGAGAGACAGCTCAGTGGTTAAGAGCATTACATGTTCTTCCCAGATTTGATTCCCAGCACCTACATCGAAGCTCCATTCCCAGTTGATCTGACACACTCTTCTTGCCTGTCAGAGCACGAGTTAAGAACAGGGGTCACGTACATACATGTGGGCAAAACACCCATACATATAAAAAATAAAATAAAAGATTAAGAGCTGCGACAGCTAGCCAGACGGGGTCCCTGTCACGGGTGGATGAAGAATCTTTAACCCTTGCTTTTGCATTTTAATGGGTCTGTCTTCCTGGTGGTCTCTGAGGACTTTGCAACTTGGGCACAACAACCCCAAGAACCACAATAGCTTTTCTGTTTTTCTTTTATGGCATTTTCACACAGATCTGTTATGCCGTTCAGTTATCATTGCCCTCTCCCCTCCCCACACTGAGTCCCCCCCACCTCTAGCTGGTCCCCCCCATATGTCCTCCGTTTCATGTCTCATGAATTCCATCACTCGGTTTTATCTCTCATTCCAACACTTGAGAGGTAGAGACAGGAGGATGTGAGGTTCAAGATCACCCTCAGCTCCATAGCAAGTTTAAGTTCAAAGCTAGCCTGAACTACTTGGGACCCTCTTAAAAAAAAAAAACAACACACACACACAAAAACACACACACACTCATAAACCACACACATATACTCACACACACTCGGCACCAACTATGTTCTTTGTTATTTCTAGTCAGATTCCAACAGAGTAGCACAAAACAAATAAACAGAAAGACTTACCTTTTTTTTCAAATTGCATTTCATCCCATGCCTGAAGTCTTGAAATGGATTCATTCATTATTTTTTCCTTGAACATGTTCGCCTTTTCTTTTTCAATCACGTCAGCACTGCTCGTCAGGAGGAAGCACTTACTATCTCTTGCTCTTCCTCTGCCTGTCAGAAAACATTTTATTTGGACTTTTGTTGTGTGAAAATAGATACAAAAACCGTGAGGTGTATCCCTAGAATTCGACTCTGCTTCACTGCATCCTCTTTCTAGGGAAGCTGAACCGAGAAGGAGACTCAAGAGCAGGTTCCAGGCCGCATGGCAAACATACAGATAAACCGGGGTCCACCTGCAGCTAGTGTTCTTAGGGTCTCCAGGGATGCAATGTGATTCCACAGCCATATCATCAGAGACACTGACTTAAAGACAGGCCGGCAGGAGCCCCCAGTAATGGCTCCATGAGCAACTCCCTCCTGAACCCTCTTGCAATGTGGAGAGAGGTTTATATCCCCTGGAACACAGGTGAGAGATCGCCAGTGCTCTTGCAGAGACAGATATAAAGGGGCATGGGCGTTTGAATGAGAGAGTATTCCGGCTGGGAGAATTGGCCTATGTGTAATGAGGACAGAAAAGGACATAAAATGCAGTAAACAGAGAAGAAGGAGACATAGCTGGGGATGATGAGTGACAGGGAGACATTATTCAGGAAGGGTAAAGTGGGGGCTGTTCTTGGGAAACAGAGAAAGGAGGGAAGACTCTGGCCTGGCTGAGATGGAAGGAGCCTGAAGTGCAGGAGCTACTCACCACATCCATGAAAGGTCTACTCGTTGGCTGGCAAAGCCTCAGGTCTACTGGGTAGTATACTTTCATAAATATGCCAGTGAAATCCTGGCCACTAAGCAGTCTATTGTGAAGAGTCACAACTAAGTATTGTGGGTAAAACCACAACCACCCAATCCTGACCAGGGACATCAGCTTTTAGACTAATAGTACCAGAGTCAAGTATGCCATCAGTACACAATACAGCTCAGTAAAGAAGAAAGGACAAAGGACAAACACCCACAAGCCAGACAAAGCGGGAGCCAGGTACAATGGCGTCAGCTGCTCTCACCTCTGGTTTGGATCATTTTGACGACATTGCCCACATATTCATAAAGAATGACCAGGTTGCACTGAGCAATGTCAATGCCTTCATCAGCGACCGAGGTAGCAATCAGAATGTTGTTATCCCCACTGGTTCTGAATGCTTCTAACACACACTTCTGTGCTGGGAGTGTCATTCCTGTGTTGGATAAAGAGGTCACTGGACAACTCATTCATGAAAGAGAAAACCAGCTGCTAATTAGGAACCATTTAAAAGTTGAAGTTATTTTTATTGTGTAAAACATAAAAGCACACAGTACATCAGATTTCACCTAACTCAGATTTTACTGTTCACATTAACCCTATGAGTTGGGTACAATTATTTTTCCACTTGACAGATGAAGAAAGTAAGGCACAGACATTATAACATGTTTCACAGCCTGTGAAATAAAATGCTACAGATGAGGGCATTTGAAAATGTTCAGATAGCAAAAAACCTGTAGCTTTTTATGAAAGTTCATATTTTTTTTCTTGGTTAGCTATTAAACAAGAAGGAACCATCCAACTGGGCAGTGGTGGCTCACACCTTTAATCCCAGCACTCTGGAGGCCTCATATACTCACGTGCAATCTCCTAGTAGCGTTATCTCTCTAGTTGAATTCTGACTGATATAAGCACAAAATAATGAAACATGGATTACACTTTATATAATACTATCCTAAATCTAATTCACTATACATAAATACCTGTTGTCTGGTTTGTTTTGCCACGTCCAGTCAATATGCCAGGTTTTAGAAAGCCCAGTGCAGGATTTTCTTCAATCCATTTCTTTAAAGCCTAAAAGTGAGAAGCAATGACCATTTGAACACTACTTGTAAACATTAAACCTTGCATTAATTCAATATTGAGTATTAGATACATACATATATACATACATGATACATAGAATATAAAAACAAAAGATATGCCGGGCTGTGGTGGCGCACGCCTTTAATCCCAGCACTCTGGAGGCAGAGGCAGGCAGATCTCTGTGAGTTCGAGACCAGCCTGGTCTACAAGAGCTAGTTCCAGAACAGCCTCCAAAGCCACAGAGAAACCCTGTCTCGAAAAACCAAAAAAGAAAAAAGAAAAAACAAACAAACAACAACAACAACAAAAACAAAACAAAACGAAGATACTGACAAACCCTAAATTCCAAAAAGCAATACATCCTAGTGGTCTAGAACTCTGTGGTTCATTGTGACTTATAATTTGTGAGATGTTTTAAGTGATTAAAAAAAGACAAAGTTCAGAACAATGGGTACACAGAATAAGTAAATTTAGCAAGACTTTGAGATGCAAGATCAATATGTGTAATTACATGGTGACATGTCAGCAACAGACAACTGCAATTTGAAAATCTGTGTGTGATGTGTGCATGTACATGGCTGACCATGTGTTGGGGGGGTGAGCATATGTGTGTACATGCATGTGGAGGCCTGGGGTCAACCTCAGGTGTCATTCCTTAAGAGCCACCCGCCTTAGTTCTTTTTGAGACCGAGCATCTCCTTGGGGATTGCCAAGTAGACTAAACTAGCTGGCCAGAGAGCTCCAGGGCTCTGTTTATCTCTGCCTCTCCAGAGCTGGGATTAGAAGGATGCACTACTGTGCTCAGCTTTTTTGTGTGGTGTTGGGAACTTAAAATCCAGGTTCTGATGCCTGCACTTCAAATATTTACTAACTGAGCCATCTCCCCAGTCCACAATGTGAATTATTTTAAAGTGCAATTTCACAGTGAGACCTCGAACAACAGCACCCAGTTTTTTCCAGATGCTGACTCATGTTGGTAATTTTCTGGCTCTATCTTTGTAGGAAATTGGCTATTAAGCAGAAATAATACAGAAACTCTACATAAATGGAGATACACTATGGCTCCTGGCTTGAAGACTCAATATAGTTAAGATGTCTTTCTTACCATATCTACCCAAAAATTGAATGCTACTTCAAAAAAGATCCTGGGGGATAGTTTTCATAGATGTGTGTTGGGCCCCAGCCCCATGGGGTCTCTGTGAGTTGCTGGTCAGCCTACAAGTGCAACTTGTTTTCCAGTCCAAGTGCTTTCTGTTTTCTAGTCCTGGCTTACTGCCCTGGCTTTGACCCTCTGACATCAACATCTAGCAGGAGGAAAACAACAATCTCTCCTACCTGGGGTTTTTCCACTGTGCTGTAAACATATATATAAAGCTCCTCCCTCTTACAAGAGGGAGACCTCTTAGCACTTGTAATGAAGACACACACACGCATTCTCCTGGCAATAAAGGCAGCCCATGCATTCTCTTAGGACAAACAAATGGACGTCTGTCTCTCTTTTCCTGATACCCTGGCGCTGGTGCAGCATTTGGCGGTCCCACTGAGATCCAGAGAGACTTGGAAAGACTGGGAAAGATCGACCAGAAAGAAGACTCAGGGAAGGAGAGACTTGAGAAAGAAAAGAATTAAACAGGTACCTCAACTTCTAACAGTAAAATTGAATGGTCAAATCTCCAGGCTTTGCTTGAGAGATTGCCCTAGGTTGGAGGGTGGATTGTATTAAATCTCCAGGCCATCGCCTGACAAAGGTCAGAAAAGTAAGGGGACCCTGAGAAATTGCCCTCAGTTGGGGGGTGGATTGGATTAAATCTCCAGGCCTTCGCCTGACACCAAGGTCAGGAAAGAAAGGGGAACCTGAGAGATCGCCTCAGCTGGAGGGTGGATTGGATTAAATCTCCAGGCCTTCGCCTGACACCAAGGTCAGGAAAGAAAGGGGAACCTGAGAGATCACCCTAGGTTGGAGGGTGGATTGGATTAAATCTCCAGGCCTTCACCTGACACCAAGGTCGGGAAAGAAAGGGGAACCTGAGAGATCGCCCTAGGTTGGAGGGTGGATTAAAAGTGGGTGAATTAAAAATTGGTAACAGTTAATAAAGGAGGTATTGGTATTAAGTAAAAGAAAAGGAAAAGATAAAAGTATATAGAATGGAAAATACACAGAGTGTCTGGATACTGTGTACAGTTGTGTTGTCTTTAAATTGTTTAATTGCTAAGAAAGGAACAAAAACTGCTAAAAGACATTTGATTATTAATGTTGCTAAATTAATCCAACTTACATGTTTTGAAAAGGCTTTAACTTCTAAATTTAAATATAAGGACAGGTTACTTGGGAGAAAGGACAGGTTACTTGGGAGAGGAATTTCTGCTTTTGTTTCCACAGAACATAAAAAGCTGTGGGTTCCTTCCAGACTAGTATGGTTTGATAAAGCAAGACCACCTGAAGCAGTGGCCCAGGTGATCCAACACCTAAAACAGCTGAGATGATGCAGCCTTACAGACCACAAAAACAAGAACGTCAACAGGTTTCTGGGGTTTGTTTTTTTGTCATGATCCCCATGGTATTTCAGCGCCCCTTAACAGCAGGAAGTAGTTTGGAAAGAACGATGCCCACATCCCCAAATATTGTTTATAAATGTTTGTTTTTATATACTAAGATTAACATTAACGTCCTAGTCACCTGAGATAGGTGCTAATTTATATATAAAGAAGGGGGGAGATGTTGGGCCCCAACCCCACGGGGTCTCTGTGAGTTGCTGGTCAGCCTACAAGTGCAACTTGTTTTCCAGTCCAAGTGCTTTCTGTTTTCTAGTCCTGGCTTACTGCCCTGGCTTTGACCCTCTGACATCAACATCTAGCAGGAGGAAAACAACAATCTCTCCTACCTGGGGTTTTTCCACTGTGCTGTAAACATATATATAAAGCTCCTCCCTCTTACAAGAGGGAGACCTCTTAGCACTTGTAATGAAGACACACACACGCATTCTCCTGGCAATAAAGGCAGCCCATGCATTCTCTTAGGACAAACAAATGGACGTCTGTCTCTCTTTTCCTGATACCCTGGCGCTGGTGCAGCAGATGTGGACAACCTAATTCCAAAATGTACACAGTAGAAATGGAATGTGGATTTAAAAACTTAGAAGAGTTAAAGCATTCACATTGCCCCTTTACAAAGCTTATTAGAAAGCTACAGTACTCAAGCTACAGGATGGATTCACAAACTGATGTTTATATCATGGCAACGGATGTATAAATCAATAAGAAAGAGAAATCAATCCATCCAAATATAGTCAAGTAAATTTCTTTAAGTTACAAAGTAATTCAATAAAGAATTATCTTGTCAACAGACAACGGGGGGGGAGACACGCATTCAACCATATCTCACACTATATATAAAAATTCAAAAAATTCTAGACCACAACAGAAAAAAATCTTGTGACCTTAATTAAACACCATCTAAAGCCAGGAAAAAAAAACACACTAGAAACATTCTGTGTGCAGAAATATGTTTAGATTACTAAACCAAACTAGCAGGTGGTGGTGCATGCCTTTAATCCCAGCACTTAGAAGGCAGAAGCAGGCAGATCTCTGTGAGTTCAAGGCCAACCTGGGCCAACCTGGTCTATAGAGCAAGTTCTAGAATAGTTAGGGCTACACAGAGAAACCCTATCTTGAAAAACCAAAAAGAAAATAAAAGATAACTAAAAATCAGGCTGCACGGCAGCTCAAAACACTTCATACCCCTGTATCCTACAAAAAGAATCTTAAACTTAACAATAAGATGGTATCCAATTTTTTTTTCCAGAACTGGGGATTAAACGACTCATACATGCTAGGCTAGTGCTCAGCCACTCAGCTGTAGCTCCAGCCCGAAAGCTCAACTTTGAGATAGGTTTTAAAATCTGACTAAACGAACTTTTTTTTAATATCATTTTTATTTTAATTTTAAATAGCTTGTTTTACATGTCAATCCCAGTTCCCTCTCCCTCCCCTCCTCCCGCACTCCCCTTCCCCCCCACCCTCCCACCCTATTGCCAAATCCTTCCACATAGGGGATATCTAGAGTCTGTCATTTTACTCTGGGTAGGGTCTAAACGAACTTTTTAAAGATGATCTCAAGACAAACTTCTAAACATCTAAGATGTCCAAGAATATTAGTTACTAATCACATGTAAATCAACACCTCCGGGATGGCTGGAAGTGAAAATCTTAACAGAAAGTCTTAAAAAGGAGGAGTGTTTACTCCATAGTGCCAAGACTTATAACTGTGGGTAAGTCCAACAATGAGGTATTAATGTAAGGATAAACAGTTAGCACAGACCCATGCATGCATGGATACCTGATTACAGGGCAGTGAAGAAAGGGCAACCTGTTCAATAAGGTAGAGCCAATCAATCTATTGTGCATGCACAGGGGCAAACACACACACACACACACACACATACACTTACATCCACAAGGGCTCTGGTTTTCACGAAGAGAATGGTTTTGGTCTCCGGCTTTAAGTGGTACTCCTCTTGTAAGATCAAGTAGAGGTCTCTGAGTTTAGGGTTCTCATTGCTGGGATCCATGGAAACTTTTTCTAGTTCTTCCAGCTTCTCTGCAAAGGGGGAACATTTTGCAAAAGGTTTACCAGTGTTAAAGCTTTAGGACTGTGGCTTTCTATTTCAAACGGCCAACCTCTCCATTGTTAGCCAGAAATCTGAGAAGTGAACACTAATGTCCAACTGGTGTACCCCTTTAGAGAAGCAGTTTAGCAATCTACTGCTAGGACTCTGACTCACAGTTCTGTTTAGAAAACCGTGGAGAACATTCCTAGGACAGTCATTGAGATGTTGAGACTATGAAACACTGAGTAACTGAGAAACTTCACAGATCTTAGGCTACCCAGATGATGGAAATTCAATGTTGTTGTTAAGAGTTATAACCCTCCTGATACAGAAAGATCAAAAAGATACATATTGTTTATTTGGTTTTTGAGACAGGTGTTTTTTGTTTTTTTGTTTTTTTATGTAGCCCTAGCTGTCATGGGCTCTGTAGACAAGGCTGGCTTAGAACTCACAGAGACACACACACACACACCCCCCCCCCCGCCTCTACCTCCCGAGTGCTGGGATTAAAGGTGTGCTTTCAAAATGACACTTTAAGTCAAAAACTGAATCACAAAACATCTTATCTTTAAAACAATGTGTGGTATGCTAGAACCAGATCAAACCACACTATGATGGTCAGTTGTTAAGTTCTTGAGACTTGTGGGATGAGACCTTATTTTAAATATAACCTTAAAAACTCTATTCTATATCCTTGCAGTTCAATGACTTATACAAAAAGCAAATATAACAAATAGCCATGCTCATTAATTTCCTAATTCATTTTATCACATTTTACTATAAGCTGTGCTTTTGAGTTGTGTATGCATATATGTGCATATCTATAGGTATGTATGTCAGAAACGTCAGTCTGTATTCAATTTTACACAAATTCAATGAAATACTGGTGGTTAGAAATTGATTATAGTAGGGGGTGGAACGATGGCTCAGTGGCTAAGAGCACTGACTGTTCTTCCAGAGGACCTGGGTTCGATTCCCAGCACCCACATGGCAGCTAACAACTGTCTGTTACAAGTCTGATACCCTCAGACATACATGCCTGAAAAAGACCAATGCAAATAAAATAAAAATAAATTATTTAAGAAAAAAAGAAATTGATTATAGTAGAAATACCTATACATGGAAATGAAGATAACACTTGCTTCATCCTTTTTTGGCGGTCCAAACTTTGTAAAATGCTAAGTATATAATGCAGATTAGATTAAGCTGTTATTATGAACCATGTAAAAATGTAGAAATGTCCTCCCTGTGTTTGAAAACTACTACCTAGTTCAGAAAAAAAAAGTGCTTACTTCACTGAAAAATCAGCCAAGTTCCAACGTGTCTCTTTTGTTTCCTTTTGTTCTTACTCCTAGCATTAATAGAATATAGACCCGGCATCCATATCAGAACTGCATTTATTTGGCAATTTCAATCTTTACTTGGTTATGGGTATAAGGGTCCTGCCAAGACCACCAAAAGCATTCTGTGGACCACAAATGGCTAAAAGTAATTATAGTGAAGAATTTCGTGTTTGTTATTTGTGAGTTGGGTGCTACATTATCCCCCATATCAGTAAAACTTAAAATACAAAAATGCAATTTGTATATACACTTCCCCCAGACATCTAACTGTATGTCTATCAACATATATATACATATATATGTTAAATAATTTGGTAAGTAATTTGGTTAAATAATTTATCAACATATATATATGTTCAATAATTTGGTATAGACAAAAAAGTTATTAGTAGTAATTGCTTCTAGGAAAAGTAATTTGAAAGGAGAAAGAAAACATGTTCTTCCATTTACTGCTTCCCAGGTTTGGAATATAATGTAAGGGCAGGAGGGGCATTTTTCTCATTATTAGAATATACAGAAGCCAGACAGTGGTGCACGCCTTTAATCCCAACACTTTGGAGGCAGAGGCAGGGAGATCTCTGTGAGTTTGAGGTCAGAGTGGTCTACAGAATGAGTTCCAGGACAGCCTGGACTACACAGAGAAACTCGGTCTTGAAAAAAGAAACAAAAAAAAGGAGCATTCATAAAGTGTAGTTTTCTTAACATCATTAAACACATGTTGGTGTTATTAGACCTTTTGAATTACTGAGGTAAACAGAATGTTACCACTTTTAACTGAGGAGAGCAACTTTTCAAATCCCAATGTTTTCCCTTCTGAAGCCGAACCCTGAGTTTTTTTGTTTGTTTGTTTGTTTGTTTGTTTGGTTGGTTGGTTGGTTGGTTGGTTGGTTGGTTGGTTGGCTGGCTGGTTAGTTGGCTGGTTGGTTGGTTGACTTTAAGGCTTTTGCTTTGTTTTATCTGTAGTCTCTGTAGTTTCAGCCATGCTAAGGCCACGCTCCATCACAGCCCCTAAACTGTCTCATCATAAACCCAGCACAACAGCATAAGCAAATAAATATATGCTAAATGATGTACACACCACCCATCAAGTCACCAGACTCCAGTGACTTCCGAGTCACCCTCACCTTCAAAGTTCCGCGTAAGATCTTGCTCGGTCTCATCAAATGCTGCTTCTCGGACATCGTGGAAGAAGGCTTTAAGGTAATTAAGAGCATCTTTCATCTGTGCGTCCTCACTGATGATGAGAGCATCGTTGTATTTCTGTTTCAAACGAAAGGTGAGTCTCAATACATTTCCAAGTTCGCACATCCACTACACCCAAGTTCAACCGGCTATACTTAGCACAAAACCAGTTTCAAGAAAAGCTTTCTCAAATTGCACAGCTGAGGTTTTAGAGGCGAATGCCCTTAGCGGATTTATAATTAAAAACCTCTGAACCAAAAGCTTGTTTCCCTTTGTTTCAGTTAGCTAGAAATATTAGTTAAGTAGAGTCACTTCGTATTGTAAAATTCCACCTTGGGAGAGAAGGAAAAACAGTGAATCATAAGAAACAATAGTAAAAGCAAGTCAGCTTTGACATCACACTGCATTGTGGTGCTGACATTCCCCTTAAATTCCAGCGTCATAACTAAAGCGTGTGTGGGCATTTCAGAATGGTGGCCCTTACCACCTATGGTGAAAGTCCATTAAGCAGTAAAATTCCGCAAACACATGCTATGTATGGAACAAGCCTTTAAATATTTCTCACAGCATAGCAACAGAGTGACGGATGTGACTGCTGTCCCATTCTTCTCTGTTAACCAGAGCCCCCAGGGATCTACGTATGTGACTTTTACAAAGTAAAGACCACACAGACTTCAGGATGTGGCAACAGGAACCACGACTTGAAGTCAGAGATGGTGGTTCCCAATCACGTGTTTCATCATCGCCCAATTTTCCCTAACCACGTCAATAAGGCAGAGCTAGAGGCTTGACATAGACCTCTGGGCCTCTGTTCCAGTCTTGTAGACCTGCAGTTAAGTTTCAGAAAGCAAAGAAGGTTGGTGATGGCTTTCTGGAAAGCTCCTAATTAAGCTCTTGGCTAGGATGAGAAGCCAATGTCCTCTCAGCTGCCACAGTGCAGACCCCAGGAGATGCAGTGACCAAAGCATGCCGTGTGGAGCAGCAGCAGTGTACCCGTAAGTGTGACGTGTACAGAAAGAGCGCTCTGCAAATCCTGCTCTCCTCCTCCTTGTCTGGCATCTGGAACACCATGCACGCTTTGTGGACTGCGACAATCCACTGTTCGTATTTCTGGGTGCCGAACTCCCTATTTTGAATTTGAAATAACTTTCCTAGAGGGTAAAACAAATAGATAAATAAATAAACAAACAAACAAACAAATACAATTGGTCTTGACATGCCTCACCCTGTAATTTTCTTTCTTATCATTATAAGTAGGATATTTACCCTGAAGTAGACTGAGTTTTCAGCTGTGTGTGTGTGTGTTGTAAGTAAAATGATTATTTACTAAATGACCTAAAGTCAAAGTGCTTTACATTCATACCTGCATTTAATTTTTTCTAATTTCCTGAGGTTAATATTTTCAAAAGAGGAAACAGGTTCAGAAGGACTGAGTAAGGGGTTGGGGAGATGGCTCAGCAGTTAGGCTCTTGCAGAGGACCCAAGTTCAGTTCCCAGCACTCAGGTTGGGTAACTTCCAACCACCTGTATATCCAGTTCCAGGGGATTCAACGCCCTCTTCTGGCCCCTGGAAGCAACAGCACTCATCCCACATGGTCATGTGTACATTCACATAATTTTTTAAATAAATCTTTTATCAGAGGAAAACTAAGTAATTTACCCAAAGTTACACAGCTCCCATTGTGTGGGTATAGCAAGAATTCAAACCCAGCTATGTAGTGTCAGCTTAAGCGGCTGACAGTCAAAGTAATTCAGAAATTAAAAAAAAAAAAAAAGAACACAACTTTGCCTTTAAAAACAAAGACACCATTGCCTCAAGAGCTTCATCGGAGACAGGTATATAAAAATGGGAGCAGCAGTACCCGACACAGCCTTTCTGTTTTCCCGTGAGGTCAGCACCAACCACTCAGCAGAGCACACAGATGTTTGTTCTAGATGCACCTGTGTGCACAGCTGGAGCTAACTCTGGCTGCTTGGTTCAAATATGCAGGGTGCACAGTGGCCCAGACTCGGAGGAGACGCCAGCGTGGGCAGAAGGTGATGGAAACGGCCACAGTGGCTTGGTCTACAGTTTAGTCTCCTGGACTTCTTGAGACAAGCGCAGTACAGCAAAATTCAGAGACCAGAAATGCATTTATGCGTTACACGCCTCCCCTCACCCACTCACTTTCATAATATAGAACAAAGGACCGGCACCCAACGGGTAATGGTGGCGAGCTTTTCCCCTGCCTCCACCCCACAGACAGGGTCTCAGCATGTAGTCCCGTTCCGGAACAAATGAGGTGGTTATCAACAGTTACTCAATGTGAGAAGCTGGGAAAGTATTCTGTGCTATAGGAAATGGGTTACTGACAGGACTTGGACGGGAGGAAGTGTGGATGTTAGTTACAGTGAGGAATAATAAAGTAAAAGTGGCACAATCCCATCCCCGTCCGTCATTCATCACTTTAGTCAGACCATGTCACCCTGCTCCTAGGTGACCCACGCACCTCCTAACTACCACCTGCCTTTTCTCTCCAGTCCATTCCCTGCCAAGCAGCTACAGAGAAGTTTCCAAAACTGTACAGGAGAGAGCATGCTACCCACAACTTCAGGGCCCCTAATAGATTCATTGCCACAACTCGTCTCCCAGTGCTGTCCTTTGTTTAAGTGTCTTCCGGATGCTCATGTGGTGAAGGGCTAGTCCCCAGAGTCGTGAGGTTCAGAGATGGTGACACTGTCCAGAGCTGAGGTCAGTGAGAGGATGTTAGGTAACTGGGGACATTGCTCTTGGATGGGATCAATGCAGATCTAATGGAGTCCCAGTGGTGATGAGCATCTTGGGTGGGGGGTGGGGGTGGGGGCTGGGGTTCCCGCTCAAGGTTAGCCTGCACTGTATATAGAGATTCTGTCTCAAAAGAAAAAAGAAGAAAGAAAGTAAATTTAGAAGATGATTTAAAGAGACCATTTTTCAGGTATGTATGTCCAGGTGAACCTGCTTTGGGTTTAAAAAGAAAATAAAGCAAAAGAGAATGAAAAAATTCCTTACAAGGTGCCTAAATAATCAGGAATTAAGAAAGTTTACATACAAGCCAGATATGGTGGTTCATGCTAGCAATGCCAGGACTCAGAAGGCTGAAGCAAGAGGACTCTGCAGGTTCAAAGCCAGCCTAGTCACATAGCAAGTTTCAGGCCAACCAGGGATACAGAAAGAGACCTTGTCTCAGGAACTGGGAGCCAGAGAGACAGCTTAATGGCTAAGAGCATCCACTATTCTTCCAGAGAATGTGGGTTCAATTCCCAGCAGATGTGTAACTCACAACTGTCTGTAACTCTAGTTCCCACGTAACTTACACTCCCTTCACATATGTGGTGCACTTACATACATGCAGACAAAAACACCTACACACAGAAAATAAAAATAAATCTTGTTAAGACGGACTAGAGAAAATACAGAAGGTGGAAAGGGGGATGAAGAGATAAAGAAGATATAGAGAGAGGGGAGAAATATGTGTGAATAAATGAGAATAAATCAGTCCACGTCTGGATATAATCTCACCATTGAACTGAAAAGACGCTAACGAGCAATATATGACTGTCCCCAAGTGGAAGGGACACAAAACGATGAGATTTATCTCACCATGATTTAGCACAGACTTACCAAGTTCCTCCGAGACATTCTTTGCCAGTTTCTCTGTCTCCCTCATCAGCTGAGATATGATGGACTTAAATGTGTTTGCAGTCCGCGATTCCACTTTCCTAAAGACTGGGGTCGAAGGAACGTAAGTAGTTTGAAGGACGCACAGGTCAAACGCTGCCATTTCCAAACCCTTCTCTGCCCTCTGAAAAGCCACAGGCTCCAAATCACAGCAAATGCTTAAAAGCCTCGAATCGGCTTCCTGCCTGCGTCTAATGTCCCTCCTGGCCTAGGCGTAGTCCAGCCGTCAGTCTAGCTTTCCTGGTGCCTCTACTCTGACAGGTCTGGCAGCCCCCTGGTTTCTGCAAACGCCACATTCCAGCTCCGTCTCCCTCTTTCCTTTCCTCCTTCTCCACACCTTGTAGCCCCAAGAGTGTTCCTATTGGCCTTACTATCACATTTGTGTACTTTGGGCAGAAAAAGAACCGCCTGCCACGTGCCATGCTCTGGCAATAGAGAGCTGACAAGAACTTCCCGATGCTGCACGGAAGACTGATTCTTGGATGAAAGAAAGGTGTGCTCCTAAACTCACCACCACCACCCCCAGGCTCCTGCAATGCAGGTGCGGGCAAGGCCTTATGTTGCAAGGGGAGGGAAAGCGGTCTCTCCGGGGAGGCTGCTGGAAGATAGGCACGGGAAGGAGAAAGGCGGGAACAAGGAGCAGCCTTACACGAAGTACGGCTGGGACACGGGACACATGGAGGGTCTGCAGAATCCGGGAAAGCAGCGTAGGCTTTACAAGACTTGGAAGTAGGAGAAACTCAAAGGGCTTAAATTATAGAGAAATCCACGAGCACTGAAAAGGGTGGGGGGAGACTTCTTCACACTGTCCACGGGGGACTCTCCGGAGTGAACAGGGCTGGGCCCCCCATTCCACTGCACCCCCACTGGGTCACTGACTCAGGGCTCAGGCCAGGATGAGGCCTCCTGTAACTACTGTACCCCCCTGCTTCCAAGGCTAGTTAGTCAATAATAATCTGCTAGGGAATCTCATTTTGTAAACCTGTTCTGGTCTTTTGGTGATAGCTATTATGATTCAGATCACTGCAAATGCAATTCTCAGATACACACAGGACCAAGATGATCCCATAGTACCTGTCTAGGGCATGGAGCACAGAGGCCTGACCCAGGCCGCTGGCTATCAACGTGCTTAAATTTTCTCTTTAACTCCTTTGCTCTCTTGCTGGTGCTTGTTGAAAGGGTTTTAGAGACAAAGAGCAGGAAAGTTTGTCCCTTTAAGGCTCATGCATCACTCAAGAGAAGAAGTCAATGAGGGAGAAAGAGCAAATGTGACTATTGGTGAAGTGTGGAGTGAAAATACCTTTGCCAAACAAATGCAACATCAGAGTTCACCGCTGTCTCTGACGTGGGAGGAGCAGGGAGTTACAAACCCCCGAGGGGCGCGCTGCTGAGTCCCACTTACCCTTCTGGGGCTTATAAACAACCTGCTCCAGTTCTTCCGCGTTGTCCCTGACCGTGGCTATCACGGACACATCCAGGGCGGCGCAGAGTCTGCAGATGTGGAACATGGCTTCATCTACGGTTTTGGCGTCTCCAACACCAACGGAGGCAGTCAGCCCAATGACCTGTAAGGAGCATCCCCCAAACTGACTCTCAGACGTTCTCCAGGATGTCGTGAGCAGAAAGAGCCCCCCATCCCCAAAGTGAAGCACTAAATAAATCTTCTCACCCAGACACTGGCCTGAGTAGGGACGGAGAGGAAATCTTTTCCAGACAGACCTAAGAGCTATCCTTTCCTTTATCCCCGTGTCTCCTACTAAGGAGGAAAACATCATAACGGTAACAAAAAGGAATGGCATGTCCATTCCAGTCCCATCCATGTCCCATCATCTTGTGAGATCTGACAAGTACCTTCAACAATCAGTGAAGGGGAAACGGCTACTTAAAATGAGAGCCGTGCAGATTCAGTGAGGTAACTTCCTCCAGTAATAACTCGACAATTATAAATGACTAACTCACCAGTAAGAAATCTGTCTGCCACCAACACTACTTGAAAAGAACCAGCTGTGGGTACTACACCAGCTGTCCTTTAACCTGTACTTCGGAAATGGGCAACTCTTAGAGCTAAAGAATTGTGTTCAATTGATGGTTTACAGCCCTATTTGGGCCCCTCATATAACAGCATCAATCTTTATAGTATCCATCTCAGTTCTCATCCACTGTTTCAAATCTTCATGCTCTCCAACTCTCGCTCCCATTTCTACATTGATAATTTTCAGCAAAGCAACTGCCTCTCCTACAATCGAGAGAAAGGAGAATTGTACACAAGATTCCCTTCCTTCTTGCCCATCTAGGAAGGACCGTCTGAAGTGATTCTTCTCATGTGGCACTGAACAGAGTGCTACTCATTTCCTGTGCTAAGCCACGCCCTTTCATCCCTCGCTGCCTCCGGACACACAGCACCCTCTTACTGACAGTCATGAAGCCCTCTACCCAGAAAAGGTCTGTTGGTTCCTCTCTTCTCTGTAGGTCTTGCCTATCTTATGTTCCCTTTGCCCATCTCTGCAGCAAACCTCATGATAAGCTGTGACATAACTATTACGTCCCCAGCTCCCTGTGAAAACTTAACCTTATAAATACTAAACATGTATAAATTTTCCCACCTTCATGCCCTAACCAATACAGTATAAGAACTTTTATGTAAAATTTACATTATCCTGTATAATTTTTGTAATCCAGAGATGATTTAAGTATGTAGGAGAAAAGTGTATCGATTATATATAAATGCAATGTCATCTCATACAAGAGACTTAAGCAACCTAGATTTTGGTTTCTGTGAAGGGTACCCACCCTGGATACCAAGGACAACTGTTTCTCAAATGAAATGAATAAAAACTAAACAATGAGTTGTAGCTGAAGAACCTAGAATCTGAGATGGGATTCGAATGATTATGGCTCCTCTGAGACATCAGCTGGCCGGAAATACCTGAGGCAGTGGGTCTGGCGACTGTCCAAGCTTTTGATCTAGGTACCGGAACATGATCTGATTGTACGGGTGGTGTTTACTGGTGTTGTGGCATTCATCAAATATCATCAAGGTGAAGACGGACAGCGAGGGGATGGTTCCATTGTTGAGACTGTTCACAAGAATCTGGGGTGTCAGGATGATGATGTCATTGTTTTCAATAATGTGCTGCACTGAGACATTTTCAGTGGTTGCCCCAGAAACGCCTGCTACACTGTACCTGGGAAATGACATAAATCCCTTATTACCAACTGCAGTGTGAACAAGGAAACAAAGATGACACACTAGATCAGAGCTACAAATAATGAAGGTTCCCCCTAGGCCCAAAAGAGTACAGCTGGGGAGTAGCTTGAGCTTTCACCCAAACCTGACACAAAGCCAGTGATCAGGAAGTGTAAGCTAGCTATAACTGGTCATGATATAGGTATTCTTCAAGTCATTAGGAGATGAATAATTCTTAAAAGAGTAATGTCAGATGAAGTACAAAATCATTAATAATGACCAGTGTATCATCTAAATATTGACTTCAGCCATCAAGTCATTCACTCTGTCCAGAAATTCATGGGGGCTTGGCACATCTGGAGGAGTTAAATGAAAAGAGTTATTCCACAAAACATTTACCTCTAACAGCTAAGTCGTTCGTAATTTCTTTGAATCATAACTTTTTTTTTTTTTTTTGGTTTTTTCGAAACAGGGTTTCTCTGTATTGTTTTGGAGCCTGTCCTGGAACTCGCTCGGTAGACCAGGCTTGGTCTTGAACTCACAGAGATCCACCCCGAGAATCCCAGCCCTGCCTTCTGCCTCTCGCACACAGATACACATGCAGGCAAAACATCAATGCACATAAAATAGAAGTGATCCCAGCACTTAGGATATAAAAACAAGAAGATCATATCTTTTAAGCCAACCTCAGCTACACAGTGAGTTGGAGGACGGCTCTGACTATATGAAATCCTGTCTCAGAAAAGAAAAAAATAGCAAAGAAAAACCAAAAACCAAAAAAGCTAGAATTACAAAAAGAAAAAAGCAGTTAGACTGATTGTAATACATACCCAAGTCTTTCAAAATGGCGAGAGAACACAGTTGCCTGCTGTTCGTAGACAGGAATTTGGTTAGCAAAAAAGACCACTTTCCCTTTTTGTCCATGTGGGAACTTTTTAAGATGATGCTCACATATGAGAAGTGACACAAAGGTTTTCCCACAACCTTGTAATGTGGAAGGAAAAAGAACAGATAACCAATGTTAGATGTTTCTCTAGAATGTACTTGTTTTTGACTTCTCTATCACCACTGGGATACAAATGCAGATGTCAGTCATCTGGATTGCCAGCTAAGGCTTAAACATTGGCTAAAAAACTACCCGCTACTTCCTAGGTAGCATGCACTCAAGTAGCAAGAACTGAAGGCAAACTCAGAGGGCATTTCTCTTTTCTTGTTCATGTCCCTTAAAACGATACATTATATTGACAGGACAGCTTAAAGAGAGAATTTTGTAAGTTACAGTAACCGACTCACCAGTAGGAGCACATATTAGTGTATTTTTCCCTTTCTGTGCAGGCAGAGCAAGCTCCAGTTGATAATTCCTTGGTTTCAAGGAGCTGTGCAAATTATTACACGATTCTTCTACAATACAGAAGGAACAAAGTTACCAAATGGCTAGTGTGCTAACTACCGTTGGGTGAACATGAGTTCTGACTCTAGCAACAAGGGCCCCATTTAGGAGATTTGGAATCCTGCCTCTTATTATTTGTCCCACTTTCCCCCTTGATCTGAAGCACACACTTATCTCTCAATGATAAAGTATCTATAACAAGGATACAGGAAAGACCAACGTGAATTCTTTCTTAATCATGGAAACTTGATTAAGAAAAAAGGAAAGCAAGAATGGTTTACTTCAAAGCAAAGTTACCCAGAACAAAGTAAGACTAGACCCCCAAAGACAACTGGACAGGACCATGCTGCTGGCATCAGGTTCTCCGATCAACTTTAGCAAGGAGGAGTCATGCTGTATGTTCCTCGGGGTCCCAGAGTGCTCAGCACAACCTGTCTCATGTCAGTAACAGGTCAGCATACAAAATGCCAAGAGACAGAGCAGACTGCAATCACCTCGTGTGCCTAACCTTTCCACTGTAAAGGAGACCTTCCAGAAGGGTGAGACAAACAGCTTTCCTTAAGATGTGTATGGATCATTGTGTGTCTGAAATGTTTACAGCAACCCATACTGTGTCACTCTGGAATGACAGGAACTTTGTGACAATCAGTTGCTGATTTCATTTATTTGTAAGGCATCTTTTTTTTTATGTTGTTCTAAAAAATTACATTGTTCTTTTAACACTAGTCATTATTCATCTTATTTTATTCTTGATACATTTTGTTATAAGTAATATCTTACAACCTTCTGGTCTCTTTATGATGAAGATGTATTTCAAGGAGCATTAGAGAGAGGCCTTGTCCAGTCATAGGTAACTTTCAAAGAACCATGCATATGAGAATAAGTTGATTTGAGCCCTCCACACAGAGGCTGGCAGACAGAGGGCACATAGTCAGTTCACCCACTTGTGTGACAGCCCTGGGATCCTGGAAGGAGTCCGAGCAAGTGGCTTGTGTAGAGAGCTGCGAAGTGCTGCACCCTTAAGATGGTACTGGCTTCCGCCTCTGCTAGCCCGATAGCAAGTGCTCTCTGTGATAAACAACTCCTTATTTGGTCAAGGCTGGATATCAGGCTTGCTTCCTCGTATGTGGACCTATCTGCTGTCGCCACATGGCTTACCGGGGTTGGCCGCCCAAGGGCCTTTTTAAGCTGTGGGCGGGCACTCCCTGGGGTCAGAAGATTTTGTTCAAGGTCCTGAATAAACTGCTTGTGAGAAGGATTCCTGAGTCGCGTCTTCCTTGCTGGTCGAGGTGGTCGTGACAATTGGTGGCCCGTACGGGGACGCTCGTACGAAGAAAGGAATTCAGAACTCACAGCGGTCAGGGGGTGCACCGGTAAGTCCCCAGGTAAGGCGGGGATCCGCGAAAAGAGCGGGATTATTGTTCTCACCCGTAGAGAAGGGGAGAACGGTCAGCAGAGCCGCGTCAAAGCGGACGGGAAAGCAAAGTAGTAGAGCAGCGTCAAAGCGGACGGAACAAAAAGAAAAGCAGCAGAGCCGCATCAAAGCGGATGGGACAAAAGGGAAAGTAGTAGAGCCGCGTCAAAGCGGACGGGATAAAAATGAAACAAAGGGTATTATTATTTTTTCTTGGCCCTTTGGGTGGTATTTAATTTTATTTTTTGGGTTTTCTTTTCACTGTTTGTTATTAAAACATGGGTAATTCCACATCCTGCCCAATTTTTCTGGCACTCAACGAGTTGCTGCGATCAAAGAATCTTAGACTAAAAAAGGGACCACGACAAGAGCGGGGCAAAAAAAGGACTGGGACAAGGCAGTTGGTTTACTCCTCTCTGTAGGTAAAGAGAGAGCAGGACAAATGGTTCGTGGAGCAGCGAACCAAAAGTTAAAAACATTGTTAGCTTGGCTAGCAGGGAACCCAAAGTAAAAGCTAAAAAGAAACATTAGAAGCTTAAAAGAAACATTGTTAGTTTGGCTAGCAGCAACCGGAAAGTAAAAACATTGTTAGTTTGGCTATGGGCGCTTCTCAGTTGCACCCAAATTTTTTGGCTCTGAATGAGCTGCTTCTTTCTAAGAATCTAAGATTTTTGAAAGTTAGGGAGACATGGGACTGAGGAACAATATGGAAAATACACAAAAATTCTGGATATTGCTCAGGAAGGAACAACTGCTAAAATACACTTGATGATAAATGCTGAATTATTTCAAACGCTCAGAGGTGGTGTTCGGCCTGTCTGGAGACTAGTAAAAAGTTCCCTTAAGGATCAGAAATGTAGCGAAGCAGTTAAAAAGGGGAGAAATGCTTTAGAACAATTACAAGAGGAGAGATCAGAGCAGACAAACAGTAAAAAGGGAGGAAAACAGAAAAAAAAGATGTACTCAGCTCTAGAAGACTCAGAGTCTACGGACTCCGAGGAGAATGAGGAGGAACTCCAAACTATTGTCATGATCCCCATGGTATGAACAGTGCCCCTTTCCAGCAATGAAAAGGTAGATTTGCAAACATGCAGACAGGATATCCAGGACAGGTGTTTGAACAGGTGAATCAGATAGCCATTAAGGCTTGGAAAATCACTGCCAAATTAAGGAGAAGTGAGTGGCAATCTTGGCACCTGGAGGCTGTGAGTGGAAAATGCAAGGATTATATGTGTTCCTGTTCAGTATGCCAATTTTACAAAAGCTACAAATTTGTCCAAGTATTTGTCCAGTTTTCTTTTACAGAATTGGTCACTTAAATTTGAAGATACTTTGAAGGAGTTGAGGCTGGCAGTGGTCCATGTGAATTCCACCAGAGTGGACCTTTCTTTTGCATCGGGATTATCGTTCTGGCTGACTACTGCAATGGACCATCTTAAGGAGTGGGCGGGTATAGGAGCATTAACAGGTCTCTTGGTGTTGGTTTCCCTGTTTTGCTTGTGGTTTCTATGTAAGATTAGAGTCACACAAAGAGGCAATGCAGCCATGGTCATTCAGGCCTTTACCGATATTGAAGCAGGACAGTCCCCCACAGGCATGGTTAGCCACCTTAAGAACTAATTAAATACGCTCAGGATGCGAGGCAGAGCACTGCACTCTGAGTCAGCTAATAGTGACCCAGAGAAGAGCATGTCTGTTTGCATGCGGGTTGGTACCCAAGAGTCCCGCCTCTGGAAAAAAGGGTATCGGACGGGTCTGATGTTTGTTAAGTGGATGACACCAAACAAAAATCAGTACAATGTCCCTGTCATTGTCAGAGATCAGACCTCTACTCTTGCCTGTTGCATTTTAAACAAAAAAGGGGGAACTGTAGAGAGCTGCGAAGTGCTGCACCCTTAAGATGGTACTGGCTTCCGCCTCTGCTAGCCCGATAGCAAGTGCTCTCTGTGATAAACAACTCCTTATTTGGTCAAGGCTGGATATCAGGCTTGCTTCCTCGTATGTGGACCTATCTGCTGTCGCCACATGGCTTACCGGGGTTGGCCGCCCAAGGGCCTTTTTAAGCTGTGGGCGGGCACTCCCTGGGGTCAGAAGATTTTGTTCAAGGTCCTGAATAAACTGCTTGTGAGAAGGATTCCTGAGTCGCGTCTTCCTTGCTGGTCGAGGTGGTCGTGACAGGCTTGTAAACAGAGTGTTTTTTTAGAGAACAAGGCTGCTTGGGATGTTACAGATAGTGGAGCTCTGGGAAGACTACATCAGAGCAAGACTTGGACACACATGTGCACTAGTAGAAGGCAGATAAAAGCAGCAGAGGCCACCAAAGACAGGAAGGAACAGTGATTCTAATTATGAAGTCTCTATTGTTTCCTAATCATCCTTTAAAAAGGCTTTTCAAAAGGCATCACAGTGCGAGAGAAAGACCATTATGGAAAAGAACGAAGATGCCCAGTACCTGAATGTGGGCAGGGATTCTGAGAACAAATGATGCCTGGGTACCTGAGTGTGGGCAGGGATTCTGAGAACAAATGATGCCCAGGTACCTGATGGTAGGCAGGGATTTTGACTGAGATCCTGGCATTCTGGCTCTTCCTGTATAAAAATCTGTATGCTGGACATCTCCATTCCATCATCATCTTCAACAGCTTTACTTTCAAGCCTTTTGGAACCTTTGTGAGATTTAAAAAAAAAAAGCTTAGAATCTTAATGTAATCTGACTGTGGATTTAGTTGTGAAAGCCCCCCAAAAGTCCTAACACGAAAACTCTAAATTTCCACTGAGTGCTTACAACCACACCCTTTCACTTTCTTAACATTTTGTAGTTTTTAAATTCTTTTATTTATTAGTTAATTTATTGTGTGCGTCACTCGTGACACAAGGAGTGTATGGAGGGCAGAAGACAACTTTTGGGAATTGGTTCTCTGTGTCTGTCATGCAGGTCCTAGAGGTTGAACTCAGGTCTTCAGGTTTGGTGATGGGGAGGAACCTTCATCTGCTCTTAAAGCAACGGGAAGAAGCATTTTTAGTTTGAGGTTCAGCTTGGTGTTTGAATGCCAGTGTCACTAGGAACCGTGCATCTCCAAGTGTGGAATGTGACACTTATGAGCAGTATGCACCATGAGCACCTCTCCTCTTGGTAGCTCATGTCAATAACCCTCCTAGGCACACGAAAGAGACACTCACAGCTTTCGTCTCTGGCTAACCCCTCACCAAAGACATAGACAGTTCCAACAGTAATTTACATTCTAAAGAAACCTGGGTGAGAACTAAAGATAGAAACTCAGGTATTTGTCAGACTCAGATTTAAAGCAGAGTGAGTTTCCAGAAGTCACTAAGATTGGCTTAACCACAGCAAATTCTTCATTCACTCCTGCTCTGTTGGTTCCAGATGGCTTCCAGGCAAGAGAACCAATCAGCATCTATCATTCTCTGGTAGGAAGATACATCTTTTTGGGGGGGGGGTTCAAGACAAGGTTTCTCTGCGGCTTTGGAGGCTGTCCTGGAACTCGATCTGTAGACCAGGCTGGCCTCCAGCTCGCAGAGATCCACCTGCCTCTGCCTCCCGTGTGCTGGGATTAAAGGCGTGCACCACCACCATGAGATAAGTCTTGCAATTTGAGCCTTTGGGTCTGGAATTCTCAAGCTATTTCTGTGATAACTTAAATTTGAGCTGGAAGCTCTTTTTTCTTCCCCAGAATCTCTGGGCTGTGTAGGTTAATCCCCTCCCAGAATTCAGCTTCCTGGTGCTTGTTCCCTCGGGACTCAGCCTTGGTTATCTGAAGGGAATAGAGTCTTTCATGAAAAGCATGTTCTGGGTGAATGTGGCAAGCCCCGTAGTGAATGGTGAGGGGCCCAGGGCTCTTTCTTGAACCAGCCCACCTTCGTCAACAATCCACAGGTCACCAAACTTGTTGTCTTCTTTCTCCAAAGCAAATTTCAAAACCTTGGGCCAGTTCTCCTTATCGGATCTGAGAAGACATTCAACCATCTTCTCCGCGCCTGCCATCATGCCTTTCGTGAAGCAGATCTGAGCGAGACAGATGCAGTGATCAGTTAGCTCTGCTTTCACTGAAGAAGTGTCTACATTTGATCAGCATCACCGTGAAGCACAACTCAGTCTTTGTTAGCATCACGTTTACCCTGCCTGGCACTAGCATTTAGGATACTCTTTCCTTCACCTTTGTCCTTTGTATGTAATATCAATATGTCAGGCCAAACGTTCTCATCTGAATCCTTGTATCCCCTACCATCAGCAATCCCAGGGCAAAAGCTAGCCCATATGATAACCATTCACAATAAAGATATATTAGCATACAGAGCGATTTGAAAGACTCTAACAACAGCACAACAGTGGTTTTTTTCCAGAGTAGGTATTCTACGACTTTTATTTCTAGTGATAACTAAAATGTACTGTGTCTGTATTACCATGAATCAAGCTGACATAAGCACTGTGTGTGTGTTACCTCATTTAAGTCTACCAGCATGTTAATAAGGTACATTTTTCTTACTTTAGACATGAAAACCCAGGTGCTTAGAATAGCTAAATGAATTGCCCAGGATCACATCACTAGTTCAGTGATTGAGAGACTATAATAAATGTATCTATGTCCAAGAGCCTAGCAATTTTCTTTTCATTTATTGTAGAGTTTGATGCCATTTGCATGTGTGCAAAACACTATTGGGAGAAAAAGTAACAGGGCAACTGAAAATAGGTTATACTTCAAAAGTCTAGCATAAAAATGACCCCATTCGGAGGCCTTACTCTCTCTGTGGATCAGATGGGAGGAGGAGAGAATTGGGGGCAGTGGGAGGAGAGGAGGGAGGGGAACTGGGATTGGAATGTAAAAAATGAATTAATAAAAAATGGCCCTATTCGCCGGGCGGTGGTGGCGCACGTCTTTAATCCCAGCACTCGGGAGGCAGAGGCAGGTGGCTCTCTGTGAGTTCGAGACCAAGCCTGGTCTACAGAGTGAGTTCCAGGACAGGCTCCAAAACAATACAGAGAAACCCTGCCTCAGAAAAAAAAAAAGACCCTATTCACATGAAAAATTCTTTCCTAGTCATTATGTCTTCTAAATGAGGGCTTTTATGGGTTCCAATTACCATTTGAGAGCCTAAAAACAACACAGAAAACAGAGGCCATTTCCAAGAGTCTCAGCATTTTTCTCTAAATTTCATTCTTTGCGTTAATTTACCTGTCTGATTTCTTCACATTCTTGATTAATTAAGCATTCAGACATTTCAGAAAGAATATCTGTTGGGTTGATTCTGGCCTTAAATTCTGGCTGTAAACGTCGTAAAAGTAATCTGTGTTCCTCTAACTTTTCAATTTTTTGGAAATCCCAACTTTCGATGGCTTCATAAAGTCCACAGTAACCTGAAAAGAGAGAAAAATGGGGGTGTCTTAAATGAGCCCAACATATAACACTTTGACATCAAAACCACAGGAATTCTGTTTGAATCTACGGTAAGAGTCCTCAAGACCTCCTGCATATGGCCTCAGCTCCTGTAGTCTGCAGAGCAGCCCAGGGGGCTGGAAGGTTGAAGGCTGAGTCCCCAGCGGGTGGTGTCTTTCAAGGTGGCTGCACCATGCCAGCACTGGATTCCTCACTGTTATTAGCACATTGAGTTCACACAGAAGGAGCGAGTGAAAACTGTGACCTCCCAGGTAAGTTACTCACCAGAGATGCACTCTGAGGATGCATTTTGTCCCTGGCTCCTTCCGGTTGCCCCCATGTACTTTAACAATAACCCTCAATTTACTTTTTTTTTTAAGATTCATTTATTTATTATGAATACAACATCTTGCCTCCATGTATGTCTTCAGGCCAGAAGAGGGCACCAGATCTCATTACGGATGGTTGTGAGCCGCCATGTGGTTGCTGGGAATTCAACTCAGAACCTCTGGAAGAGCAGTCAGTGCTCTTAACCTCTGAGCCATCTTTCCAGCTCTCAATTTACTTTTTAAAAATATTTATTTTTTATTTCATGTGTGTCTATGTGTACCATGAGTGTATGTGATGCCTGTGAAGACCAGAAGAGGGTGCCAGATCCCTGGAACCAGAGTTACAAATGTTTGCGAGTCATCAAACATCTGCTAGGAACCAAATCTGGGCCCTCTGAAAGAGTAGCACGTGCTCTTAGTCACAGAGTCTTATTTTCTACCTCCCAATTTACTTTTAAATTAGTCAAATTAATCAGATTTATCTCCTCAGTAGGAAGCAGTAAGGAAGACAAGAGGAAATAACGAATCTTACTTCCTGCCCTTGAAGAGCTTTCCTTCTACACCATTACAAGGAAAAAAAAAAAAAGATTACACCAACGGGCAAATCTAGGGGGGAAATGATTTGCAACTACAGTGACCCAAGAATATCTTACTCTAAGGTTCTTGGACAGAATCCCCAGACTTGCCTTCCTTTAAGACCCACATTTACTCCATTCAGTAGCCTGGGAAGACAATGAGTGGGTTTTACTCCTATATACCCAAGAAATTAACACAAAGCTCCAGAACCAGGGAAATGGCTCAGAAGGTAAAGAGATCACCACAGAAGCATGAGGACCTGAGTTCAATCCCCAGCTGTCATGTGAAAGCCAGGTACAGAAGTGTGGCCCTAAAATCCCAGCCAATCCAGCAAAAATGGTAAACCCTGGGTTCAATGAGAGACCCAGTCTTAAAACATAGGTGAAAAGCTCCTGAGGAAGACACTTAATGCCAGCCTCTGGCCAATACAAAAGTGTCCTCACACATGTGTACACCAAATGTATGTGCATGTCCATCCCCCAGCCCCAACACACACACACACACAACACACACACACTGAAGCTTCTCCATGATGAAAAGGAACCCCCGATCCTGTTAGGACAATCTCAATATGATATCTACCCTGAAGTGTCTTTTCATACAGTTATGAAGCACTAACAGAGAAGAAAAAGAAACGTGCATAAGCTATAGCCAGCAAATGCCAGCACTGGGGACATGTCTGATGAGGCACAGCCACTAAATGTCACTCATCTTTAGAAAGCCATAAGTATTCAGGAGAGTGCACACATCACTTACACAACATTTTCCATAACTTCTAAAGTTATTCTATATATGTTCAAAAGGTGCTTATTTACACATATTATTTAGAAAAAATAATGGCTAATAAATATAAGCTATATAATCTCATTCATGTTTTTATTGTAGCTCAAAAATAACAAAATTTACCACCTTAACCACCTTTAAATGCATAGTTGAGCACAAGAATGTTTTCCTCTTGCAAAATTGTAAGTCTATGCCCATGAGCAATTAATTTCCTTTGTCCCTCCCTCCACCTTCTGTAAACTCCATTTTGTTTCTATGGCTCTAAGTCCAGAGTCTGTTGGTGTAGGTTGAACTGTGAAAGTTTTACTGTGTTGTGACTTGCTTATCTAGTGTAACTGTCCCAAGGTTCATCCATGTGGTAGCATAAGCGAGCTTCCCTTCTTTGTAAGACTAAAAAGGATTCTGCTGTATGTGTGTTTTTCTCCTTAAATTTTACTTATTTTTTAACTGTCTATTTATTTATTCTGTGGTGCTGAGATGTGTTTGAGTCTAAGGCCTCATCACAGACTCGGGGGGTGCTACCACCCTGACCAATACTACATTTGGGATGAAGAGTATTTGCACGGCTTATGTCTTAGCTGTGGTAGGAAACGCTGCTATGAGCAGGAGTCTAGATTCTCTCTTCAAAGTTCTGCCTTAATTCTTTGGGTATGGATCTTCTGGATAATGCAATGATAATTTTGGAGGAAACTCTAAACTACTTTCCATAACAGTAATACATTTTTACAGCCTACAGACAATTTTCCCCATCCTCGTTAATACTTTGAATTTTTTTGACAGAAATAATTGGTGTGCAGCCATAACTCACTGGAGATGTCACTTCCATTGCATTGAGAATGGGTGACTTTGAGCATCTTTTCACATGTTTCATGGCCAGTTGTATATCTGAAAATGCCAAATCCTTTATTTTTTTTAATATTACACGGGGTGGGGGGTGAGATACAGGAGTGCTATGGCACATGTATGGAGGTCAGAAAACAATTTTCAGGAGTTAGTTCCCTCTTTCTACCTTGTTTTGAGGCAGGGTCTCTCTTAGTTTCTGCCATACTCAAGGCTAGCTGGTCATGAGCTTCTAGACGACTCTTCTGTCTCTAGCCTCATCTCACCATAAGAATGTTCAAAATGCAGACATACACTGCTGAATCCAGCTTCTTCACGTGGGTTCTAGGAACCAAATTCAGGTCATCAGGCTGTGCAGCAAGCCCTCTCAGGAGCTCAGCCCTCTTCCCATCCCACCAATCCACTTTGTCCATTTTTTAACTAGGTTTCCTCTGTTGAGTTATAAAAGTTCCTTATATTATATGTTATAGCACATATCCTACATACAATGGATACTAATCCCTCATCAAATGTAGGGTTCATAACCATTGTCTCCCATGCTCCACAGGGTGATCTCCCACTCTGGTGCTTGTGACCTTTGATGACAAAGATTTAGATTTCGCACAGTCCCATCTGTTTATTTTTGTACTTCTTGGCTCTGTGCTTGGCATCATATCTGCAAACAGAGATGCTTCACCTCTTACGTTCCAATACAGATGTTTTAAAACTCCCTTTGTTGTCTAAATGCAAGACTTTTTCTAATAAATCTCATGTAACTTTCATGGTAAAAGTTAGATGTGCTATTTTTGCTTAAGAGACAAAGACTTACGTACTCAGGTTGCTTAGAGCCCCAAAGGAAAACAACAGATTCTCTGAGGAGGACTACATAAGGGATGAACAAAATAAACAAAAGATGAGTTTACTAGTCTGTTTATCCCGTTCTGTGCCATTTAAATTGTTAGGTAAGGGCTGGGGAGATGACTCAGCAATTAATTTTCTTGCAGAGGACCTGGGATCGGGTCCCAGCACCCATGTCAGAGCGTCACAACTGCCAGTACCACCATCTCCAAGGGAACGTCTGGCTTCTGCAGGCAGTGCACTCACAAGCACACACCTACTCACAGTACACACACACACACACACAATATTTAAAAACAAGCAGGTAAGATAAGCCTATATCACTGGCGTGCACAATAGATAATATGTTACAGTGGTGATCTGTAAGACAGAAAAAAGAAGCAATAAAGAAGCAATGATCAACTATTAATGCTACAAATAGCAGAAAACCAGGCTTTCTTTTATAATAGATAGCATTTAAACCCTTTTATCTAATTAAAAAAAAAACATTACTTTCATAGAACTGTTGTCATCATCCCACTAACAATGCAAGGCTTCCTGAGGACACAGGCACCTGAGAAAGGCAGTGTTTGCCTTAACAGTATCATGTTAGTTCAATATAGCTGCGTTACAACATGATAGTTATATTTCTTGCAGTGGTAAGACCAGCTCAGACTGGCCTCGAATTCACCTGCCTCTGCCTCCCCAGTACTGGGATTAAAGGTGTGGGTCACCACAGCCAGCTGAAAAATTTTCCTTGTCTGTGAAATCATTGCCCTACAATGAAAACAACGGTTTTCTTTTCTTTTCTTTTTTTGTTCTTTTGTTTTTCAAGACACATACACTGTGCCTGATTTGTCACATGTGCTTTCTTGTTTGCTGCTTTCAACACTGAAGAAAATTACCTTTTGCATTCTTTCACCAGGGAGTAAGCTGGGTAACAGAGAGGCACGGAGCTGACTAAATCCCCTACGTACCACTGGATGCTGAAGTGGAATGCTTGACTTCCCCCTTCAATATCAATGCAGCCTCTCAAACAGAATCCGTGCCAGTAGGTCCAGGTCCCAGCTCCCGCTCTTCTGCTAATTAGCTGTGTGGCCCTTGGCAAAGCATCTCCCCAGGCCTTGGCTTGCTCATGTACAGAAAAGAGGAAGTTGGACATCTCTACGATGTCATTCATCTCTAGATAAGACTGACTCCTTACGCTACCAACATCAGAGACCAAAGAACACATAACATAATTGTAGTCCAATGTGAGCCAATTATTCCATTTAAGAATTAGAATATTACTGCCTGTGTGTGTGGTGATGCACCCCTTTAATCCCAGCAGAAGCAGAAACAGGCAGATCTCTATGAGTTAGAGGGCAGCCTAGTTTACACGCTGAGTTCCAGGATAGTCAGAGCTACACAGAGAGACACTCTCATAAAAACAAAAAACAGACAAACAAAAAAAACCCAAAGAATTAATCCTCTAGTACTAGGTACACCTTCTGTTTCTCACTCCTCTGCCTCTTCACCAGAAATAACAATATACTATGTTTAACTTATCAACTCCTTTGGCTTTTGTCTGAATAGTCACAAGGCATTTGCTTGCTTCCCTAACAATATGTTTAGTTTGACTCAGGTGAGACTTCATAGCTATTGCTACCTAAAATTTAATACTGCATGCCGACAGTTCAGCTGGGTTGTCATTTACATTCACAGAGCTTCTCTGAGTGTAATGGAGCACTGTGTAAACACTACAAAACTTATTTACTCATTCTCCTCTTGAAAGCAATATTGTTGCCTCTCCCACCGTTACAATTCTATAGATTCTTTTGGATATCTCTGGTAGACCACTCTATCATCTGCTTGAAAATAGTATTTATATTTCCTTGAACAGTGAAGCACAAGCTACATACAGATGCCTCCAAATTAATCCCTTGTCCCTTTTTCCTTTCAGCATTCTAGTTCAGCAGTTAAGTACTCTGATTTGTGAAGGAACCAATCTGCGTGGTACAGGGCATCCAAAAAGGCCTGGAACCAGCCATCTGTCTGTAGCTGCAGCAGGTACCGGAGGAACAGTGAGGCAGCCTCCATGGGACCCTTGTTGTTTTTCTCAGCCTGGATGTACTGGACCTCATCTGCAAATAGAAACAAAGACTCGTGAGCTGCCTGCAGAACCACTCGTCACTGGGAGGTGAAACAGAGCAGACCTTCCCACGTGGGCTGGAAGTCCTAACAAGTCACAAGAGAAGCAGCCTCAGGAAGCAGCAGACTGTGGTCATTCATGAACACACATTTCCCGTCCTCTACACAAACGGATGCAGAGTCTGCAGCAGACTGTGCTCATTCATTTCCCGTCCTCTACACAAACGGGTGCAGAGTCTCAGGGTGCGCTCTGAAAGGAGTGTCTTCCAGACCTCTGAAAAACAGATCAGTTCCCCACAGTAAGCAGAAGTCACAGTGGAGGGTGTTACATGAAGGAGAAAGGCTTCCTCATTCAAAACTCTGAAGCAATGGCTGAACTAAGGGAGTGGGGGTGGGAACAAACACCCCAAGGCATCAGAAAAGTGCACAGCAGACCAGCAGACACAGTGAGCACTGTCATCTTTTGTTCTGCATTTTTGCTAAGGGAGGAAAGAATACAGCAGAAGAGTGGAAGGAGAGGGAGCTAAAGAAACCAGTGAGAGCTGCTGGCAGGAAACACTAGCAACTGCCAGTTTCAAAACAGAATCCATTTTGAATATACATGCTAACTGCACCTAGGAAATAACCAAACCGCAACACTACTGTGGCCTCACATATCCAAGTTTTTCCATAGCAGATGGAGTACGAATTCCAAAGGAGGGAGTCACTTGCCAGAGTGGTTTTCAGTGCATTCTTAGAGACTAGGAGACCCGGCCTGTAACACTCAGCAAAGGTATCTGCAAAGAGCAAGGAGCAGAAGTCTTCTACTTTACCTCCCATTTAAGGATCTCTATCAACAGTACAGTTACTGTTAACTGATGGGGGATATCCTTCTGTATGCTGTTAATATATGTTTCTCAGACTGGTCGACGAACAAAGCTGTTTTGGCCAATGCACAGGCAGAATTTAACTATATGGGAATTCCAAACAAAGAGTCAGGGAAAAGAAGAGAAAGGACAGAAGCCATGTAGCTGCCAAGGAGGCAGAATCCCGGGCATCAAGGGTAAGTGAAGGCTACGTGGAGTTAAATAGATTAATAGAAATGCGTTAGTAATTAAGAGAGAGCTAACCAGTAAGAGGCCTAAGCCAACGGTCAAACAATTACAAATATATAGTTTCTGAATGGTTATTTCTTAAGTGGTTGTGGGACCCGGTAGGTGGAGGAAAACCAGTCCAGTGGAACCAAGATAGATGGAGAAAATCTTCTACCTTCAACTGTTACATTTTCTCTATTCAAGTGAAAAATGTGATGGATTTTAGAGTTTGGACTCTAGCCCAACTATTTTTTTTATTTTTGGTTTTTCGAGACAGTGTTTCTCTGTATTGTTTTGGAGGCTGTCCTGGAACTCTAGGCCACCTGCCTCTGCCTCCCGAGTGCTGGGATTAAAGGCGTGCGCCACCAACGCCCAGCCTAGCCCAACTATTGAATTACAATGAAAAAGAAACTCTTTCCCCATTTAGCAATCACTCTATTCCCTCTCCCTTCACACTAGACAGTCACTAACCAACTTCATAGATTTTCTATTCAGGATTTCTCGGGCCTTGTGAGGCAAGTGTTCTACCACTGAGCTACAGCCCCAGCTCCCATCTAGACATATCATCTTGTATATGCAATCAGTCTTTCCTTTAATAAAAATCTATACTATAAAATTGCAACAAGCCAAATAAAATCCCATTACATGGAAGTTTCACGTTGCACTTGCCCATTCAACTGTCAACAGGGACCGTGTCTACATTTTGTCTATTATGAATGGAAGTGCAATGAGTGCTTCTCTTAGTCACTAGTTTTTGCTGTGAAGACACATCATGGCCATGGCAACTCTTATAAAAGAAAGCTTTTAATTGGGGGTTTGCATCAGGGGTAAGTCCATTATCATCATGGCAGGGAGCATGACAGTGTGCAGGCCGGTGCTGGAGCAGTAACTGAGAGCTACATTCTGATCTGCAAGCAGAGAGAGAGAGAGACAGAGAGAGAGGGAGGGAGGGAGGGAGGGAGACAGACTGGGATTAGTGTGGGCTTTTGAAACCTCAATGTCTACATCCCCTCACCCAGTAACACACTTCCTCCAACAAGATCACACTTCCTAATCCTTCTAATCCTTTCAAACAGTTCTTCCAGTCTGGTGACTTAAGCACTCAAATATATGAACCTATGGGGGCCAGTTTCATTTAAACACCACAGTGCTTGTGCAAATGCACATCTCTTAGGGACACATATAAATGTGAGACTGCTGGGCCATGCAGCAACTTTGTTTTTAACACTGTACAAAACTGACATTCCCAAAGAAGCTGCACAATTTCGCAATCCCACCCACTAACGATCTGATATTTACTTTCTACACATCCTAAGCAGTGCCTGTGGCTGTCCTTTTCCTTAAGTCATCTGTATGAGCTTCCTGTGGCTGCACTGATACTTGACACAAACCACACAACTTGAGGCAATAGAAACACATTTTTCACAGCTCTAAGCCTGTACATGTTAGGGGCCATGAGAGATACAGCAGGTGGTAACTCGTGTTCAACAGGCCGACTTAGCAGATCTGAAATTAAGGGGTTGGTGAGACCATGCTCCCATCAAGGACCAGAGGAAAACGCTTTCCTTGTCTCTTCCAGCCTGGGCAGCCATCAAGACTCTTCACGTATGACCTCTTGCACTCCAGGCTCCGCCCATCTTCACACTGTGGTTCCTCATCTGGCTTGTAGCTCTGTCACTACACACCTGCCTCTATCTCTACAAGGCATTTTCTTGATCTTTATGCCTCTGCATGGCTGTCAGTATACCACCTTACTCCAACATGACCCCATTTTAGCCAGTTACCTGTGTAAAGACCCCATCTCCAAATAAGATCATGTTCTGAGAGTCACTGGGAATCAGCACCCCAACATAATAATTCAGCTCATTAACAGCACCCCATCTGGTCACTTCATCCAGCTTCCCTGGGTCTACAACCTTATCTCTCTGAGTCCATCTGTCCTCTTACTAACAGCTACTAGATGTCCTATTACTGCCATCTGTCCTATTGCTTACAGCTGTGTGCTTGCTTCCTGTAACACGATCTCCCCTTATACCAGCCATCACTGATACACCACGACGACCAGATGTGTCCCCGTCACAGCGGGGGCCTCCCAGGTTAAACTGCCTTGTCATACCCTGGGCAGGTCATACTTTGTATGTTCATCCTCCTGCTCACCATGTCCAATACAGCTGTTTACAAGTAATCATTTCACCCACACCACCAGGGTGTCAAAGCAGAAGAAACTCCATTAAAATCAGTGGTTACCGCTGTTTGCTGTTCTGCCCCGCCCCCCATCCCATGATGTCTTCAGCTTCCCAGGGTAGGGGATTTTAAAATTGTTCTCCACACTTCCCTATTCTCTTTGAAACCTCTGAGTAAGACACTTTACATGGTATACAGTAATTGTGTACTTACCTTCTCCCCCCTAAAACCGTGGCACGGACATGTTTCACTCATTTTTACATTCTACTAAATACAGTGCCTGGTTCATCCATGTGTCCAGGAGGTGTTACTAAGAAATGGATACTGAGAATGCTATCCATCCATTGCTCCTCCAGGGTAAGGGTGAGCATGTGACTCCAAAGGAGGGATACGGAGAAAACCCTATTCCCACACCCAGGCCTACTCTGAAACAGCCTGGGAACCCTGGGAATCAGCAAAGCCCTCCACTACACAGGGAAGCACCTACATTTTCCAGAAGAAATATCTTTTCAATAGTTCTCTCACAAGATGTAGCCAGTGCTCACAATCATAAATGTGATTTGCAAAGAAGGTTACAATGAAAGGGAAAGGCAAGGGGAGTGTATGAGTAAATTCCTACTGTCTTCTAATAAAGCAAAAAAATGTAAGTCAGAAATCTTACACTCAGTCATAGTACTTATTAGCGCATCCTTACTGATAGAATATATTTGTTGCAAAATCAGGGTCAGCCAATAGAAGCCAGAGCTCCTAAAGGAGCCAGTGCAAGGAAGAGAGTGCAAGGGAAAGAAGAGAGAGTGTTACTAATCAAACAGAATATTGAAAAAGAGGAGAAAGCAGAGTATTTGTGGACAAATACGGTACAACCAACTTCTTAAAAAAAAAATCATCTAGATAAAGCTTTACCACCAAGCTACACTCCCAGGCTCAGATAACCAGCTTTATTACTGGAGGGGGTAAGGTGTAAGGAAAAGTAGAGGCCCAGGATCAACAAGACCAAGTTCTCAGCACAAAGGAGGTTTATTTGCCTCAGAGAAACAGAGGGCAGGGACAAGAGTCAGAGGACCAGAGATAAGGATAAGGGATGTGAAAGGGTGTGGCCACAGAGGATGAAGGACGGCCTCTGGGTAGGAGGAAACAGATGTGGCCCATAGGAAAATGGTTTATAAAGGTAAAAGGGAAACACCAATGCTAAGATGAGGTGTTTAATTTTAATTGGGCATGCTAATTAGGTAAGCCGAAAGGGGCTTCTGATAGCTGAACTTCAGTACTTTGATAACTGGACCTTGGTGGTCAGCCTCAGAAGGAGGAAGTGACCAAATAAGGAAATAGACCTTGGTGACTAGCTTCAGGAATGTAATCTAAAGGTTTTTTTGTTTTTGTTTTTGTTTTGTTTTGTTTTTAAGAAGGCAGAGGGAATGGGGGGGGAGGGCAATGCCTGCCAGAGTCATGTCATGTCATTACACACGGGCTGACCAGAATCCCTTCAATACATAGAG